ACACACACACACACACACACACACACACTCCCTCTCTCTTTCTCCCTCTCTCTCGCTCAACACAGTCAATATCTGACTGAACCTTTCCACTCTGGCATTTTTGCACACTGTGTACAATATTTTCGCATTCATTTCTCCTCTACGTATGGTTTGCTTAATCTACTTAAACACCATTTTGTAATAATGGTGCGTCCTCTTTCTGCCTCTTATAATGAGGCATCATGGTCCTGGGGGGGAAACAGCAATATTGAAACCGTGTAGCTGTATCTGGTTTAAATAAACACAAAGAAACATAAACTGATAATCATGCCCAATAAACAAATTTCAAGAGTTTCAACATATTGTAAAAGTTAAGGGGGTGAATATTAATGCAAGGAAACATACAATCTCACTTGTCAAAACCATAAGACATTTATAGAGTAGGATGATGGCAGAGAATAAAGCACACAGAACAGCATATCTCTGTGTGGGAAAACACACTGACATTTATTGTTATCAGCTCTTCTGTTGTAGTATTTACATTAAAGGCATGACACCCCCTGAAGCACACGTTGTACCATGTGGACACACTCTGACCGAAAAGAAGGCCACATGCTGAAGCCATGTGACGGTATGACCTCTGCAGCGCACAGCCTGATTGTTTGTGTGTTTGTGCTGCTACTCTAGTCAAAGCTGTGATGGAAAAATTGATGAATAATTGATTTGACTCTAATGGGTGCATTTGTATTTGTGAGTGAATACTGCACTCTGAATTTCTTTATATACACTGAACTGTACTATTGCATGACCAAACATTATCAGCTGTTTTCATTCTGTGTTTCCCTCATGTATATCTAACTGCAGATATCACAAATGAATGGTGGAAATGTGGAACAGGCTGATGGACAGTTTTTCCTCTTCACTGCGTGTCTCCTGTTAGTGTTTTTCCATGTTGTGCATCAAGAAGTCATCGCCTCAGCATGTCAGCCTGTCCAGAGGTTCACTGCTGACATTATTCCTGCAAACCTAATTAACAATATCATACCATCAGCTGCAAGCTCTTGAAAGCATGACAAGCAGCCAGGAGGGGAGCGTGGAAGTATTAATATTTATGGCTCCATTCAGTAGTGAACAGAGAACTATACTAAATTAGCAAGTCTAATGCCCTTCAGAGCTGTAATCCACTGCAAGAGGAGAAAACTGATACAGTATCCACTCTTCAAATCACAGGTGGAGTTGTGCCGTCAGGGTTGATTTGAGGCTCTAAGAGGGTCTATTTTGTGCTATTTACTTGGTGCCGTGCTGAACATTCAGAATGGGATTTTCCTGATGCTGCTGTAACTACAAGTACTTGGACCATCTGCATTATGGCGTTAATTTATTTCTCTCTCTCTCTCTCTCTCTCTCTCTCTCCCTCTCTTATTCTCAGTCCAACAAACTTTTAATGAGTCATAATCTGTGTAGACAGTGATTAGATTTAATGAGGTGCCAGCAACCTTGGGTTGACTCAACTCTACTGCTGCAATACGCTCACTAATTTGTGACTGAACACTGTCAAGCCATAGACTTTGCGACAGGACCATCACACAGGCAAATTCAGGATTAAGCTCCTAAAGCTGTTTGTCTTTTATTTAGGAGTTGTGGTATTTGACAGGGATGTCTAACTTCAAGTAAAGAGATGAGAAAAGAAAGAGACACTAAGTATTAAAATTTTGCTGTCAAAATATTTTCTACAGATTGCTGTGAAGATGGAGTCAAAAACTGATGACTTGAAGAGGGAAACAGGTCAGGAAGGAAAGACTTAATCCCTTATTTTTCACTGCCATGATACACCTAATTGTGCAAAGCAAATCATTTATTACTTATTACATCTATTGCAATTCAAGCCAAACAGTATCAAACAATAAGCAAAAAATTTCCAGAGTTTTCTCCCTTTTTGATAGTGGGCTACTAAAAATACTTTTCAAGGTAGAAAAAACAACATGAAAATTACCTACAGTTTTATGAGACACTGAAGACACTGAAGAATGAACAAAGGATTGAGATGATAAACTGATAATCCATATTTTTGTACTCCCATAAATTGAATTACTTATCAAACTGGTGAAATGTGGCTGCACTGCAAGGGTGACTCATGAGGCCCTGTCAAGCTGTGTATACAGATAAACTACTGGCATTACTTCACACTTGACAAAGTGATCTCTGTCAGGCCAAAGGGCACTGTGCTGAGTGCTGGCTTTCCACCATTAGTGAGCTACTTCAACTCATCAGCTTTAAGTGCATGTTTTTCTTTTTTCAATGGGATGTACACCTACACACAGTTGTTCATAAAGCCTGCTGCAACCATAGACTGTACAGTCTATGGTTGCAACAATGTCAAGGACCTTGATCTGCATCATGCTCTCAGTTACGTATCCATGTATGTATGTGTCTCTGTCCATGCGTACTCACCTTGTAAGCTGGTTAGTTACTATGACCCCAGAATAAAATGTGCTTTTTGTTGAGCCATTCATATCCTTAACAGGTGAAGGTATTACAACCAAATCAAATCATATGACTGCATAATGATGCAATATGAGGTATCATGTATAGAAATGTTGTCGTTGTTCAATGGGTTTTATCTGCAACTTCATAATTCAGCTGCCTATTTTTCAGGTTAGCAGCAACATTTAGAAGAAAGTAAAACCTCTTAATATGTAAAAATGAGTCACATTTTACATTCAAATTTTGTTGTGCCCCAAAACAATCGATACACTGCAATGATGTGAAAACATTAGTGAAAATATTGTTTTTAATGATCAGCAAATGCAAGAACTAAACCTGTTGAAACAATTTCCTCCTTTACAAGTCCAACAGTTAAAAATGGAGGACTAAATTTTGATTTGTTTGCACATTTCAGGGCTTTTAAATGCAGTGTTACTGTATCAGTCAGTTTATCCATGTCTGAAGTATCTCAACAACTATTAGATGGATTATAACAACACCTGTAGCTAATTAGCACACAGGGAGCTAGCATGGGCGCTAAAAGCTAGCCCTGAACATTTTCTGTCAGGGTCGTGACATGGCAATAAAATACAGTGAAAAGAAACACCCACAAGCTGTGTCTAACTTTATATCAGTGGAAAAGCAGCCTAACTGCATTGTTTCAGGTAGAGGCTGAATAGTTCTAAAATGAGGGGTTTCAAGCTTGTTAGCGTTATTGTTAAAATGTATGAGGTTATATTAGAACTATACAATTAAAAGCAAATTTAATGTATGTGTGACACCCATAGACTGTGTATACTATGGACAACTTGGTTTTGCCTTCTGCCAGTATATGGATTTGAAGCTGAAAAGCTCTCGGTATTACTGCGTTTTTTCTTTATTTCCTGAAACCAACATTGCACAGTAGCATTGTACGTATTCGGCAGGAGAGTCGCTGTGATGACACTCAGTTCAAACAGCGTATCCCCAGAGTGATCTACGCAATCTTCATACACCCGTAGGCTGTATCAAGTGTCAATCATAGAAAACATGAACCCCCTAATAATTTTTAAAAAATGGAGCTATACAGAAAAAAAGAGGACTTGAGCACAAACCAGTCTTATAATAACTTCATGTCAACATCCCAACCAGGAGGGAGAAAAATTTATGTTCTGTGTAATAAGTTTTGTAAAAAGTTTGTCCACAGCCCCATAAGGATTGCTGGAGGAGGCGGGATTTATGACTTATACTGCAGTCCGACACCAGGGTGTGCTGTTCTCGGAGTGGCTTCACCCAGAGAGGAGGCAGGTGGCGTCCATTGTATATACAGTCTACGGTGACACCATATAGGCCTGAGTGTAATCCCTACTTCAACACTTTCAGTCTTATGTCTGGTCTTTGGCTGATCAAGTATGTAAAATAAATCTAATATTGACATATTTGTGAAGGAATTCAAAGGTAGGTATGATGGAGGAGTGTGCAGATATAGATATGGTATCAGGTTAAAAATACAGTGAAATGTGTCTCTAAGAGGCTGACAATATGCATCATCCAAACTTTTATTCCAACCAAGAGCAAACCATCTATGCAGTTATGGCGCGTGGCATACATACAGTTGGCACTCCACTCAGCTGTTGGCAATGTTGCCCTTCTTCTGCCCCCACACTGTCAAATGAACCATCCTCCTCTCCACTCTCTCTTTGTATAAGACCAGCTATCTTTCCCTCTCTGACTCATTGCCCAAAATGGGAACCACTCCTCCTTATTCACCCAACAGACAGATTACAGGCTGGAACAGATGAGATGAAGAGCTCAGCGGTGAGGAGATATGAACCAACAGTCTGCAGCAGACAAAGAAGTGGAGGATGACATTGTGCTCATGTGTGAGAAATCTCCATAAAGTGTGCAGTAGTTTTTTTATTAGACCTCACATTTGTATTTTTCATACTATTTAATAAAAATAGAGCATCTGTAAGAGAGTTAATTAACAGATATTCACAAAACTGGGATAGTTTTAAAAAACAAAAGAAAAAAAAACAGTGCAGAGTGTCCTTGCTACCATGTCCTTGCAGAAACAGTCAAACAAACTGATTAATGATCCAGGAGAGAGAAACACACACAAAGGCAAGCAGGTAGTGCAGGAATCAATTCATCACACTTTATTTTGTGTGACCCTGGATGGTGTGGCAGCAAGAGCTGCACAATACAACGCTCAGCACAAACGTATGAGTGTACTAGTACACACACACACACACACACACACACACACACACACACACACACACACACACACACACACACACACACACACACACACACACATATATATAATGGCCTTACAAAAGGAAAAGTCCACTGCAAAGAAATCCAAACCCTCTTTTCCACTCAGACTTTATTGTTGTGAGTGCAAGGTACATATATTTGAGTTCTTTTACACTTTCTGGTTGACTCCAACAACATTAGACTATAAAACATGATTAAGGACATGGTTGGGTTATATTCAATGCTATGTTTAGACACACTGAGGAAACTTCATTAAGAGTGAGCACCTGAGGTCATTAGGCCATCTCTCTAAAGGCTTGCAGGTGCTGGTTGAACTGGTCAGCACCTTCTTTGGCTGTTATAAGCTGCTTTTCACACCACTCAACCAGAGCCTGCCGGAATAACTCCACTCGCACACCTTGGAAGTGTTTGATCTAGGTGAAAAAAAATCATACATCATCACACAGACCATATGGATGTAAACAAACCGGAGGTTAGATGATTCATTTAACATACTTTAGGTGATTTAGAAAACAATTACAATGTTTTACCTCCATTTTAGCCACTTCAGAAATCTGATCGAACCCTTCCTCTGCTGCATTCTTGACCTCCTCCAACTGAATAACAATGAGAGCGTATCGATGTAATTATCAGCATTTGCTTTGTCTCAGTTAAAGGGAATTTACAAATTGTACTTAAACCCTATGGTGTCTTCTGGGAAACATTATTATAATCAATCAAAGTGTGAAAAAACAGCAAAATTTGGAAAACAATGTACAGAAAACCACTGTTTTTATCAATATTGATTTGAATATCAGCACGCTATGTGGACATTTTCGGATTGTTTTAAAATTCTACTCCGATTTTTTTTTAACTGTGGCTGTTTCCAACCAGCAGATGGCAGCATGTGATGTCAAAGTTGCATGTTTACAGTCTTGTCGTGTTTCTTACGTAACCAGTAAATGCTGTGAGAAAAAAATAATAATTTGGTCACTGTAACTAGTAAACAACGAACTACACTAAGCATTTTTGAATTAACTCAAAACAATTAAACTACTGATATTTTTCACAATTTTTGACCCAATATTGGAAATGAGCACTTTTCCAACTGACCAGAGGTCTTATTTATAAAGGTCACATACTGTATTTTGATGCCTTTTACATTTTTAATTTATTAAAAAATTAACACTTTAACTCTAATGTGCAACTATGTCTCAACTTAGAGATTCCTCCAATGGGCAAAGCTGGACTGTACCCTCACTTATCCTCAGGCAGTCTAAAGTTACAGAAAAAGCATAAAAAATGCAAAACACAGTGACACTAGTTCTGTCTATTTCTTCTGAGACTGTGGATTGTCACCAGGTGAGATTTTTTTTTCAGTTTTACTACAGATTACAAAGGTGCACACAGAGTTTACAGAGACGTGACAATGGCTGCTTCACACACCGCCCTCTTATTACCTGCCCATATTTATTGTCTTATTGTCTTAATGACTAAGGTGTGGGGGTAAAGCTCCAAACAGCTACCAAATAATAACTATTATAATAGTGATAATTTTTCTTCATAACCATAACAAAACCAACACATTAAAACTTTATTTCTAAGATCCAACTTCAGATTAATAATTTGACAGAGAGGGAGGAAAATTACTGATTGACATGAACATTTTTTCATAATGTGGAAAACTCATTGTGGGTCCTGTAAACGCATAATGATGAATGATGGCTTGCCACATTAACGCTGCAGCATTGTGGTGATTTGTATTTTACTAGTGACCCTAAAAAGCAGTTTGTGCTCTCTATCATCTTCTCCAGTCACGAGCACCTTCACAGTTGTCAAAATTTTTATTTACTCTGTCCTGCTCTTTGTTATTGCTGCGATTCTCCCCAAGCAACTACTGATCTGCAAGCTCATCTGTATGCATCTTCATTCTTAAGGTGCTTTGGGTTGGCCATCTATTGATGAATGTAAGTATGTAGAGGGTGAAATCCATGTATGCATATTCCCAAGTGTATTAGGATTTATGAAAGGATCAATGAACGTGAAAGTGCGTGTGCAGACTGTTTTAGAGATCTGAGCTATGGATGATGTATGCTCTAAATTCAAGTACAACACTACTGACACCTGCTGGTCACTATATGGTATGTATGAGCTGTGATGCATGGGTTAGAGGACTCACAGCAGCTTTTTTGGCAGGTTTGGCCTTCTCTGCGTTTTTTCTCGCATGCTCCAACTCCACCAGTTTACAGGTTCTCCTGAAGAGCATTTCCTTCACGTGAAATAAAAAAAAAGTTGATCATAAAAACAAATTTCAGACTGATATTGTCATATTTCTGATTAATTGGCATTAGAAAAAGAAGATGCACCTTTTCTGCCTCTTGGTAGCGTGAATCCAGGTCCAAACCAAGACCAATAGTGTTCATGTCATTTTCAGCAACACTTGTCATGTTTTTCTGCACAAAAACACACACAAGCAAAAATATTTGCAAAATGCTTGGCGAAACAATGGCGCATCACTTTTATTGATTTGAAATGAGCAAACCCACCTTCAAGGAATCAAACACTTCAGATAACTTCACACAAGCCCTGCAAGAAGAAAGCATGGTCAGTTTGCCGACTTCTGCTCAAGCATTCTTATAAGACCTCATGTGATGTTTGCGTATAATTGATGTTATTTTTGACTCACTTTGTAAAAGCCTGTTTGTCCGGATCCTCCCCTGGTTCCACACAGAGATGCAGGGCGGTGGAAAAGTGCCCACAGGCCACTGCTATTTCTGCAAACAAAGGGAACACAAGCACACACTATCAGACTTGGATAAATACGATTTGCAGAATTGAGAGGATTAACGAAAAGAACTTGTAGTTGTAGTGAAACATAAATTCCACATTGCACAAACTACTAAGCACTTCCATTTGTCCTGCTAAACTTGATACTGAAAAAAGTAAACGTCTCCTTACTCTGCTCTGTCAGCACCAAGTCCAAGAATTTCTACAAGAAAACAGACCCTTATTAGTTTAAAGTTTAACCTGATCTGACACAATAAAACATAGTGTTGTATGGCTCACCTCAGCTGCAGTCTTGGTACAGCCTGTTATAAGAATGTTATGATCACGTTCAGTCTGAAAGTACTCATCAATATCCTGCAGACACATATAGAATCACAATAAAACCAAACATACAGGTGCAGAGGCTGTAAATCTGTTTGTGTAAGTCCCTGTTGGGTACCTTGTGGCCTTCTTTCCTCTTTTCCTCTACAGCATGACTCAGCCTGCTGAAAATGTTTCTCTTCACTTTCTGTCTGCCTGGGGGCTGCAAAGAGGAGCACAAATAAGCTCAAATGTTTTTAGAGCAAATACTGTTTTAGCACAGTAAACAGAAGGTATGAAACCTTCTCAACATGAGAGTGCGCCTGGAGGCCAGAGAATAAAAATGAAGACAACAGTATCCCTTTTAGTTATCTAAATATGTCATGGAATTAAACGGACTTCCGAGTCATTACGGCTGTATGTTTGCCTGCTTTGTAATTGTTGCTTCACTTCTCTTTAGCATTGACTGCAGTGTTATAGTTCAGTTTTCCACGCAAACAATAAATTGATCTAGTGTAAGACTCGTTCAGTAACTGATTTCGACCCTTAGTTTGAAATGACACCGACAGAAGACACTTTCATCATTTCTCCCCACAATGTATGCTTCTTAATTCTTAAATCTGTGTCTCTGTGAGGTCTTTTTGCACATCCAAGGAAATATTTGCAAGCCCAAACAGCAGGCAGACATATTTGAATGTTTGTTTGGTGGACTTTACAATACTTTTCTCCCTTGGAAACATTTTGGTGCCTTCATTTTGTCTCATCTCAAAAAACGGTTAATATTCTAATATCCCAAATATCATAGACTTTTTCAGAATCTGTATTATTTTTTGATGACAGATGTAAAACATAAATGCCTCCACATATGGTAAAAAAAACTGCGATATCATGTCGGTTACTTGTCTCTTTTTCTGTAATGAAACAATGTCAGTTAAAGTTTAACCATATACTGCCTGTCTCCCTCTTAAAAGGTATCACATTGCACCGTATTGCACTTTAAAACTAGTCCTTCTTACTGAAGCTGCATGTAGAAGTGTGTATATGTCAGTATAGAGAATAAAGAAAACTGTTTATTTCTGAGCGCTTACATCTGGGCTGGTTAGGAAGATTTCCACAGCTTGATTTTTGCTGAGTGTGCTGTGTGCAGCAACCTGCTGGAGGAAGATTTCCAGAGCTTTACAGTATGGCTGCCACTCCCCTAGACCAAGGAATCCTGGGAGAAAAATCAAGAAAACTATCAGAAGTCTGTCCAACACTTCTATCATATTAATTCTTTACATGTGGACAAAGACACTTAAATGCAGAAAACCTTCAGTTAATTTTATATATATAGATATATATATATATATATATTTTCATTTTAATGTACTCACCAAGCCGGTTTAAAACCTTGGTGGATGCATTATTCTGAGCCTTTAGAGGAAGAGGAGGAAACTTCAAGAAAAAAGAAAAAGAAAGTTATATCATTACAAAAATTAATGTTCACAGTGAGATTACTTTGGTCATTGTTTCCAATTCATTTTTATCCATAATGTCCTTGGTTTGGGAGACAGGATTAATATTTTTGCCATGAAGTGTATAAAATAAAGTCTTCCTGAGAGGCTTCATGTTATGTTTTTCAAAGGCTACAAAGCTCCACCTAATTTTTTACAGTGCTGGGGCAGCTGGCAGAATGACAGTGCCAATATCTGCTTCCTGATTACAGAGAAAAGAGGGGAAACAAGGGCGCATGCTTAAAGAAAACAAAGGCTCCCAATACTCGGCCAATGTTTGGAGGTAAAAGAATAGTTTTTGACTTTGTTTCATGTTTTCATATTTAGGAGTTATGTCCTGAATCCAATACAGCATCAGTGAAGTTTTAGTCTGAGCAGATATTTTTTCTATCTGTGAGAAGTTAGTCAAAAAAACTAAATATGGGATGAGAAATCAAATATTGTAGCATTAAAGGCTTGTAGTGAGAAATTCGTGCTGGTGCCTCTAAGGAGGTAAAAATGAAGTATTTACTATGATTCCTTGCATCCCATGCACATCTTCCTGACAGACAAGATGGTACTGGAGCCACTCAAAGTCACTGTAGGTCCGGTCCACATGGTACTCCCCTGTCCCTGATACCTGACACACAAACAATAGCGACAACATTACATCCCCTGTTTTCGTAACACAGTCACTTAAGCATAACAAGCTGAACTGTCTTATTGATTTAAGCACTTATTTAGATCAGGTGTAAACAAAGCCTGCAGCAAGTAACAAGTGGACAACTGGTTTTCTCACCTTTTGAGATACAACAAGGAAAGTAAGTGTGTCCCCATCTTTCTGCACCTCTGTAACCTTGATGGTGGGACCACTGACACTCAGAGCAGGCGTTGCTTCATTTACCTCTTCCTGTAGTATCAAAACATATTTTAAGTAATGTCAAGTTTTAATGGCATGCAACATGTATGAGTTAAGGCAGTTCGAAAACCCTTTTTAACCATGCAAACTGAGCTGAAAAGGCATGAAAAAATGGACCTGACAAGTTATATGGATGTCTGTGTGGAGTAAAAGCTGTCACATGATTGGCAGAGTGAGATTCTTAAGGCATACTTACCATCATTGTCTAACTTGCAGGCTAATCCCTCCAAACTGTTCTCAGTCCACTTTTTCGAAGGCTTAACTCCCACTCTATCTAGCTAAAAAAGCATTAAGCTGTGAAAATCTTTTGTCTAAATGTTGCCTTTGGAGAGCTCACTCTCCAATCGCTGAGCTGGCACAGGATTTCCTTTGGGTCAAAGTGCACGCTGGTCCTGTAAAAAATGAAGTAAAACAGAGCCGAATGTAAAGTGCTGGCTCAGAGAAAAAGATGTGTAACTTATACGTTAGTGAGTAACTCAGAACCTTGGACACACCCACACAGGAAAACCAGAGTAACGGACCAATCAATTCCCCCTCCAGCTGTTACTTTTACCGCCTGACAAACTTGTAAACAACCCCTGATCATACATGTTTTCCTTCTAAACAAACACAGGTACCTAAAGGTCTAGTTTCTTGAATTTCTACAGAGTGAATACAAGACACATACTGATTAAACCATTTAAATTATTTTATTATCTATAAAATACAGTGTCTCAAACTGCAGCAATCATTCAGGACACTAGAAAACAATGCAAGGTGTCAGTAGAAGTGCATTTCTTCATTTTCACCCCCATCACCAAAATAAAAGCTAAAACCAGGCTCCTCAAAACTGTAATCTTCATGTGAACCGTCCTCATCCTCCTCATCCTGTTCCAAGTCCCAGTGGAAGACATGCTCCTCCACAAAGGGATCTTCGTCAAATTCATGGAAGAAGTCGGCAAAACTGAAGTGGAAGTTTGACTCATGTTGGTCCTCGGGGTCATATGAAGCTTCCCCCTCCTGAAGGAAATCAGCATGTCCCACATTGTCATACAGCCTCCTCTTCTCCTTGTCAGAAAGAACCTTGTAGGCTAAAGGGACAGGTCAGAATAAACAAACTTTGTCAAATAAAGCACTAAAAGTTAAGCAATAGACCCATTTACTTAGCACATCTGGTATGAACATGTTGCTTTAAAAAGTGTGTTAAATTATTTGTTATGTATGATTTCATCTATTTCTATTTACATCATTAAGTTAAGACTAGGCATAGTTCTGTTGAATAGCGTTACAGTTCCACTTTTACAAAACAGGAAACTTGACTCTAAGGAAATCATCTGATGAACATTACAGTACTTTTTTGTGAGTTGCAAGCATTTTACCTTCAGCTATCTCTCTGAAAGTCCTCTCTGCATCGGCGCTCTTGTTTTTATCAGGGTGGTATTTCACTGCCAGTTTGCGGAAAGCCTTTTTTATCTGGCTGGCAGTTGCAGTAGGCTCGACGTTGAGGATTTCATAGTAATTCCTACTTGTTTTTGAGGCCGCTGCAGGCAGGAGTAGAGATAAGCAAAGCTGCAGGACCACGCAGGCTCGCATCCAAAAGAAAACACCTTGCACTGCCATGCTAGGCGTCTGCAAGTGCACAGAGGAAACTTAAAGTGCGGAACTTAGCAGGAGAAACAGCTACCCTGTTGTGGTTAGTCTGCTCATCTCACATGCATCAAGATATCAAAGTAACACGTCAGCGCTCTGCCAGTCCTGGAGGCGTTTGTGACCAGCTACAGGTAAGAGAAATAGCTGGCATACCTGACTTTAACATGTGAGTTGATATACTAGTTTAAAACATATACAAATAGTAAAGGTGCAACATGTCTAACATAATCTCTCCGTCGTTTTGGGGAACGGAATGCTGTTTTATTCGGTAATTTCTTTAAAACAACAACGACACTGAAATCGTTTATTGTTCGGTGGCAAGGCAAGTAATCAAAGACTTACGTCTGATAAATTCACTATAGTGACCACTAGGGGGCAGTCTAACCACTCACAATAGAAGAGAGGAAAAGCGCTCGCTTCTTTTCTTCTTCTTTGGTGATGAAAGATGCATGGCAACACTTTCCAAAACAGAAGTTAAATCTAGTATAAAGAGCCACACTTTAAAAATATGGCAGGAATACTGGAATATAGCTGACACAGGGCGACATCTATACAATATACAAAAACATGTAGGCAGAATAGCCATGCAGGGCAGAAACACAAATTAGAATAAGAATAACTTTATTAATCCCAGAAGGGAAATTCTATTGTCTGTTGTGTCACTTGACATGTCTCTAAAATTTATCTACTATTTACACAAGAGGTATAAAGTCTGATGGCTGTTGGTACAAAAGATCTTCTAAATCTTTCTGTCCTGCAGCGAAGAGAGAGGAGCCGTCCACCACCATTGGCCCTTTGGTCCATCAAGGTGTTGTAAAGTGGGTGATCCATGTTCTTGAGAATAGTCGCCACCTTCCTCAGTGTAGATCTCTCCACCACATCCTCCACTGAGTCCAGCTTGAGTCCAACCACAGAGCCAGCCTTTTTCACCAGTTTATTCAGACGTCTTGCATCTTTGTGTTTGATGCTTCCCCCCAGCAGACTGCAGCGTAGAACAGAACACTGTAGACACCACAGACTGATAACAGATCTGCAGCGTCTTACTACAGATGTCTATTGATCGGAGTCTTCTCAGGCAAAAGAGGTGGCTCCGCCCCTTTCTGTAGATGAAGTCTATATTCTTAGACCAGTCCAACTTATCCAGATGTACACCTAGGTATGTGATGTCACCACTTCGATGTCCACTCCACAGGTGTTCACTGGCTGAAGAGGGGGTTTGGATCTTTGGAAGTCTATGACCATCTCCTTTGTCTTTGAGGTGTTGAGGAGGAGGCAGTTTTTGTGACTCAAAGGAGGAGACAGTATTTACCTGTCTAAGAATTGGGCATACAGGACTCAGTCAGAGCCTGTATTTGAAGAGAAAGAAAATCTGGATCTCACTGTAGAGAATCTGTTAGGGTCAGCATCTGAAAAAGTATTCCAGGCATTAATGAAGTATTTGAGGGAGACTGGCGTATTGTACAGAGTTTAACTTTGGAGTAGTGTTGTGTCGTTCGCAAACGATTCGTTCAAAAGAAGCGAATCTTTTAAGTGAACATTCTGAACCGAATCACTTCCTCGAGTGATTCATTCGTTTCTCACAGCATTGCCAGGCTAGCAGCTGCACTGACGCCTGAATCACTTGGCGAACGAATCATGCATTGAAGTACACTCTCTGGAATCATTTTTGTCAGACAAAACTACTTTTTTTTCCCACTGCTAAATTGCCACCACAACAACTTGCATACAATGGGACACAGCATATAACAAGTAGTGCATTAAACCCTCAGCATCCTATCAATGCAGCAGTTTGCGGGGGAACGGTGCATGTTCAGTGTGAATTCTTCTAAACATTCAGTGAATGAATCACTCACTGAGCCCAATTTACCAAGCAGACCTGATGAATAGCATACCATAGGACAGTACACTTAAAACATCATGACTTATAAACAAGTTCATTTTTACAAACCTGTTTGCCAAAGCAACAAAGCCAAACACTCATGTCTCCCGGTCCCAGAAGCTATAAATTGAACTGAATCCTGAACTGTTCAGCTGTGTATCAGTTCAGGAGGTCGGAGTCGCAGGCTTCTCCCGCCAAGCACTAAATGATTTGGTGATTTGGTGACAGAATCTTTTGAACGAATAGTTATAGTGAACTGATTCCAGTGATTCAATAAATCTTAAAGAGCTGCCGGGCTCATCACTACTTTGGAGCTTAGTGAGTATATACATGTATAGGCGTGTATCTTTTTTTTTTTTTTTGCTTAATTTCCTGTGCCACACTCCAATCCAGTAGGTGGCAGTAATGCTCCGTAAGTTGGTTGCCAAAGGCCAATAAAACGAAGAAGCGGAAAGATGCATGACGCTCGGTGGTAAACAGTACCTTGGCCTTGTGGAATCGCACGGAGAAAAATCAAAGCCTATGTAAAGAGATTATTGTGCAGTTCCTCGTGACTTGAAGAAAGACATGTCTGCGTGGGAGTCACCCGATTTCGGCCCTGGATCCTGGTCCTGGTTCGAGTTTTTTTTTGTCGCTAGAGCGTGAAGCGAGTTAGCTAGGGATGGTTCGCTAGCCACATCTAAGCTTAATGGTGCTTCGCACAAGACGGGCTAGTTTACCATGACATAAACCTTTGTTTACCGTGATCGAAGTATTTATGTCAGCCTGATTTGGTATGGACCTTAACTTTAATGACATTTTAACTCAAATTATGACAACTGCTTAATACTCAGAGACAAAACAACACCTGCTGCTCTTTCTTAAACTACCCAGTGTAGACATCCTCTGTTACGAATCCCGATACTGCATCTAGAAATGAACTCATGTAGTTGTATAAGTGAATGAACGTTAAAATAAAGTGACCTGACATAAAACTAGGTACACCAGGGTAATCGAATGCAACCCTAGATAACAGCTTTATTGTAAATTCTACTTAAAGAAGCTTCTGCGTGTTCAGGTTTTGTTGACATGGTTGAACAGGTTATCATGTGTCTCTAAAATTATTTGTGGAAATGTGTTCTCGGTATTTTGGCCGCTTCATAACAAATTGGATAAAATAGAAGAACCCATTTAAATATAACATTATCCTGAACACTACAATCACCCGCTACATCTTAAGCGGTAAAGTACAATAGTCACCTGTCTGGTCAGGTAAAAGTACAAAAAACCTGAAATTCTAGGTGCGTTTAGAAAGTGTAAGTTTTTGTAGAGCTGTTGTTTTGGGTTGCACACCAATGCCCAGGTGTACAAAAGTTGCACAGGTCAGGTTATATTAAAAGTTAAAGAGATAATCTTACATATTTGGAATTGCAAATTTTACAGTTGTAAATTCTGTCAATATTTTTTATAACTATCTATGGCTATCTATATTTTAGTTACTTTTCACCCAGTGACTTGTAATGATGTTAAACTCTTTTTATTATTTAGTTAGACTTTATCCTCTAGTTGATATTTGTATCCAGATTTTCCTTATTAAAATGCCTAACTTGTGTTTTATTTTTGTCTTACAGATATTTGAATACGCGACTGCACTACTCCCAGGGAAAGACTACCCTTGTCTTTTCTTCTTGTGTATGAGAATATTTGCCTGGTCACACCTGCCCAGCTCATACACATGAGTGCTGTACACTCTTCGCGCTGGGCCAAGCGCCATGCCTGACCGGGACAGTTCCTACCTGTCAGGTGGTGGTGGGAGTGCCGGTAGTCTGGGTGAAGAAGGAGGACCTGGTTCTGGTTTGGTGGGGAGCTCTTCAGAGGGTAGAGGGAGTTCGGTAGCAAGTGTTGGAGGCAACGTATCTGGCTCTGGGAGCATGGGGGGAGGAGGGGCGCTTGGAAATGGTAACAGTTGTGGGAATGGTGGTAGTGGGGGGCAAAGTGGAGGACTGGCATTAGATGGTGTCTGCCGGGACTTCATACGCAACGTCTGCAAGAGAGGGAAGCGCTGCCGCTTCAGACACCCAGATTTTAATGAGGTGCCAGACTTGGGTGTGCAAAAGAATGAATTCATCTTCTGTCATGACCACCAGAACAAGGAGTGTATGCGCTCCAACTGTCGCTTTGTCCATGGATCCAAAGATGATGAGGACTACTACAAGAAAACAGGAGAGCTACCTCTCAGACTGAGAGGAAAAGTTGCTGCCCGTCTTGGACTGTCCCCGATGGATCTCCCCCACAGCCGCGGTGAGGTCCCTATCTGCAGAGACTTCCTGAAGGGCGAGTGCCAGAGAGGCAATAAATGTAAATTTCGGCATGTCAAAAAGGACTTTGAATATGAGCCTGCCAGGGTCGGAGTGGGTGGTGTTGTAGGGCCGGGTGTCAGTGGAATGGTGAATGCTGGGGGAGGGATGGGTGGTGGAGGCGGAGGCGCTTGTGGAGGAATGCAAGGACTTGTTGGAGGTGGGGGTGGAGGTGTAAGTAATATGATGGGGATGGGTTGTCCAAGCTTGGGTGGGTGCAGAGACCCAGGTATCTCAGGGGTTGGAGGAATGGGTGGAGGTGGGATAAGTGGTTGTTTGTCAGTAAGTTCTGCAGGTCAGCGGCGTTATGACAGGAGCTCATGTTCCTTGTATGACCCTCTGCTGGAGAGTGGACTGTTTGATGCTGGCTCCCTGGAAACTTCCATGGACCACACTACTCTGCAGCTGAAGAGGCGGAGGTTGGAGGGGCTGCGCCTGGCAGATGGGAGTGGAGGAGGCCACTACGAGCTGGGAGTTCAAGCCACCTTGCCACCAAGGCCTCTGGAGTGCAGGTTCTTAGAAGAGGAAAATTCGCTGTTGAGAAAGAGGGTGGAAGAGTTAAAGAAGCAGGCAAGGATTATAGATACATTTTTTTACTGCTATTTTACTGTAAAGCACTTTGGTAGGTCACTGGCTGTTTTTAAATGTGCTATTCAAATAAAGCTGACGTTGACATTGACATTTTTGAAGTAAAAAAAAAAGGCAAACTATGCCACGGTAGAAAATTAGATAAACTTGATGTCAAAGGCTGATGTTTAACTGGGTTATAAACTACATCTTATCACTGTACTCAACACACAGTACTTAGATTTTGTTTTTTTTAAAAAAAGGGTTTGTGGCAGTCTGTATTCTTTCCCTATTATAACACAAGTCTTGTATGTTTCTCAGGTTTCTAATCTCATTGCCACAAATGAGGTTCTTCTGGAACAGAACGCCCAGTTCCGAAGCCAGGCCAAAGTGATGACACTGTCCTCCACTCCTGCACCAACTGAGCAGAGTCTGGCGCCCCCCGTAGGTGCAGTAAGTTCCTACAACCATGGCATTGCCCAAACCCACACCACTCTGAGCAGCGCAGGACTGCAGCCCCGGCCCGTCACCCAGCAAGATCTTGTAGCTCCTACCGGTGCTCCTGCTGCTCCCCCCACGAATGCTGCCCCACCTACAGCCCCTCCACCACACCTCAACCCTGAGATCACCCCGCTGTCAGCTGCCCTAGCACAGACCATTGCCCAAGGGATGGCACCACCTGTTTCTATGGCACCTGTGGCTGTGTCAGTAGCTCCAGTGGCTGTATCCATGACCCAGCCTCTGCCTGGCATCACTATGAGTCACGCCACCACCCCCATGGTGTCGTACCCTATTGCCAGCCAAAGCATGAGGATTACCACTCTGCCTCACTAACTGATAAAGTGCTAGACTGCTGTATCGAAAAGTCAAAGAGTAGCATTCTGAAAGGCATTTTTAACGTAGATGTCTATCTTTAACATGTATGAAACTACACTGACAAAAGAAGTGACATTATTTTGGTACAGACTCATACCTCTCCAGCAAAGGATAGGAAAGACTTTTCTGTTCAGCCCCTCTCACTCTGTGCTTTCTTGGGACATCACAAATGCATCCTTCTTACAGACTGACCTGTGAGAAGGTGCTGTATTAAAGATTGCCTGTATGCCCACATATAGATCAAAGAAATCAACATGCACAAACGAGGTTATCGAAAGACTTCCTGAAAGATCAGTGTGCTGTCTCTGAGGGTACATGAAGACTCTCGAAACAGTTTATGTTTATATTTTTGTGGATTGCTCTGGTGTAAAATAACTTTTGTACTTGCACATTTTAACCCTCCTATTATCCTTGAAGTCAATTTGCTTCTTATTTTATGACTTCCTGATTTGACGAGGACAGCTGATTAAGCATAAAATTATCATGATACATTTTTTGCAATGTGCTCAACACATATCGCAAGCATTGGTGTTCCTCTGGGCTCAATTTTAACCCCCAGCTGACTTAGCTGTGTAAAACTTGTCTGTCTGTGTGTGTGTGTGTGTGTGTGTGTGTGTGACCTAATATACACGCACCTGCAGGTTCAGAGTTGATACTTTTAAGTTGATATATAAAAGGGAGGTGGGGAAAACAGCTATTCCCTTAAAAACTATAAACTTTTCGTGGTGTGGACATGTGGGAAACAACTTGACTTGTGAACTCCTGCTAAAATGAGGAAGCCCATGTAGGCTTGTGAGTCAGTCACATCCAGATCTTTCCAACTACACATGCCTCTACTCCAAAGTAATCATGTCTTTGTGTCTTCAACATGGCTGACTGTGTGTCTGGTTGGACATACTCTCAGCAGCACGTCTACCTTTTGGTTGAAGTGAGTAGAGTTGACTTGGAAGCATACATTGGCTTTCTCCCTTTGGCGAGAGTCTACAATTAAAAAGGTGAAGCAACAGCAAGCCTTTGGAACGCTGAGACTGGAAGGGCAAAATTTTCAGCCACCATGTCTCAAGATATTTACAAGTTTTTTCTCGTGTCATACACTTCGATGAAAAACAAATAAAGCAGGACCAACAATAACGTGACAAACTTAAAGCAGTAAGGGATGTGTGGGACATGAGGGTACAGCGTCTACCCATGGTTGATCACAAACATCTACCAATATGGTTCGTTCTGTGAGAGTCATAAATGTGCAACCAAAATTGGAAAAGATTTTGATGAAAGATTTTCAAGATACACTAACTCTAAAACTGAAAGGTTGATCTGACTTAAAAGAAAACTTTTCATGATACATTTATTCTACTTTAAAAGTTTAGCCTGGTGGTGGTGCTAGAGGACAGGTCAACTTACTGGTAGGTTTTCATTATCAAGGGGTTATTTATGTTCAGAACAAATGAAGTGCCTGACACAAGAACTTGGTCAACAACTTTATATTTTTTTCTGGAGGCAAATATCCCTGGAGTCAGATTGACCCCAGGGGTAAAATGTGTTGGTAATGTTTGAGGATAATAGGGGGGTTAAAAGAAATAATCTCTCAACAATAAATGTGTTGTCTGCACCAGTGTGTACAGTTTTCTTTACGTTCACAATTCACCATGCCAAGGAAGATGGTTTGTTGCGACTATCATGTTTAAACCTTATGGCTTGACTTGGTTGGGTGGAGTCACATTGTGTAAACTTAACATTATCCCCTTAGCTACATGGGTAGTCTCACATCCGTGTGGCTGTTTAAACAGGGAACTATTGGGTGTTGGTGTAAGAGCCGCCTGGGAGTCGTGGCTCTGGCCTGTGAGCTCAAAGGGATTTATACCCAGTCTGCTGTTTTAAAGCTAAACTGCCGCTGGAAGAACAGGCAAAGAATTTGACACCATGCGGTATTTAAATAGCTGCCCCTCAATTTTTTCTCTTTTAAATTAAACTGCAGAAACATTTTCTTGACTACGGACTATAGGAGTAACATTAAACAGCATGGAAAATCCCAGCACTTGCCAACCTAATGCCGCAGTAATAACGGTGATTACTTCAAGTCTGGTCACAGTCTCGCAACAGCAGCGAAAGAGTCAAAGATGCGTTTAATGCCTGAGTCAGTGGGCGTGTTTTCATCCAGATAACGGGACGTAACGAGCAGAACTTGTCGTCGGCCACTGCTCCTGGACTTGTGCTTATTTGGTAAAACTTTGCTATAAAAAAGAGGTTTCGTTTTTGGGGGATGCGACTCTCGGTAGTGGCTGAGCAACGGTACTGAGTGACGTAGCTGTAGTTCAGATCCAACGGTTGAATAACGAGTCGATTTTAGAGATGGGACGTTAACGTAAAGATCCAAACGGACTTCAAAACTTAGTAACTAAATTCAACAGCGGCTTTTTAGTTCATGTATATTTGACTCAGAAGTTATCACTATGCAAAACGACAAGTCAGAACCAAGTGAACCCAAAGGCACCGTGTGTCCGAGCACCGGCGACACCGAGAAGAAAGCGTTGGTCCTCGCTGAGACAGAGCCTCCTAAACCCAAGGGGATAAGTGCAGTCGCTGTACTCTGGACCTTCGGAAAATGTCTGGGAGCCTTGTTGCCCGTCTACCTGGCCGGTTATTATCGGGTCAGCACCAGCCTGCTGGTCTTTGGGATGATGATCTACACGGGATGGAAGCATGCCCGAGAAGCCAAAGAAGCACGACTGAAGTCAGCCATGCAGCTGCTCAGCAACGAGGAAGAGTATACATCCTCGAAAGTGTCCAAAATCAAACGGGATCTTCCTGCATGGGTAAGAAACAACCCTCCATACATCAGCATGTGTGACCTTTCTTCCTAAACCATATTCTTCTTGATCCCTCTCTAACCTATCGTAACCTCACATTACTGATTATGTAACAAGACAGCAATGGACCCTTAAGTCAAAAAATCTCAACAGGATGTGAGGACTGTTTTTCCCCCCTCCTGCTCCTTTTTTAAAACTAATGTGATGCCTGTTATGTGCCTTATTTAGGCAGAGGGTGTTATCCCAAAGACTATTTATATGATAAGGTTTAGAATGTTAACCCTACAATTTTAAATTTGTAATAAGATGCACATAATACTGTAAAGGCCAGTGGTAATTTTTGGGAGACCCTCCCGCCCCCTCTTTTTAAAGGGAAAACACTGTTTTAACTTCTGGGTTATGCATACAATGGTCTCTGCCCGAGGTTCCTGTTCAGTGTAAGCAAAACTCTGCCCCTGCAAATTTCCTCTTGCAGAGTTGCAAAAGTTTCTTTGTTTGCCTCCATGTCAAGACTAAACTTGTTCAAGACCTTAGTGGAACGCTATCGGATGCAGTGAAATAAATATGATTACACAGACACCCTCTAACCATTGTGCAAGTTCAATCAAATGTGTTTGTAATCTTTGGTTGAGAGTGCACAAATGTTGCATAAAGTGAAATACTGCTTATTTGCATGCCATACATCCTGAGAGTTTACTATGCACCCAGAATGGAAATGCTGCCAACCACATGAGCCTGTTTTGACTCATGTAGCCACACCCAGACAAGGTTCCTGTTTGATACACCCAAATACAGTGAGTGATTTCAGTGATTGCTTGTATAACCACTGAGCACATGTACTTATCATTGAAATCAAAATTGGCAATCCCTGTGTTGCTTCCCAGTATAGATAAAAATACTTTAGTAACAGACAGCAATAGAATTATAAATGATCCTCATATTGATAGTAGCTGCACTTATCTCCCTAACTCGTCTTTCTTTTGGAAATAGTGCCAAGGAAGATAACAGTGATATTGATTAAATTTATAGGCCTGCATCTGCTTTAGCTGATTCACTTCCCCATCCTGTTTTGTGTATTCCTTGCTCTTTGCACAAGCTAATTATGTGCTTACATTGTTTTTCTTTCCCTCAGGTCAACTTTCCAGATGTTGAGAAGGTTGAGTGGCTGAATAAGGTAAAAAATAAAAGTCAGAAGATTACGTTGTTTACCTTCGCTTCCTCTGTGTCTACAAAGAGGCAGCTGTATTTTGTCCTTTGAAAAGCCCACAGTAAAGGCGTTTGTCTGTCTGTTCAGTCCCCACCTGTTCTGCTGATTGACTCTTCATGTCAGTATGCTATGTTATTAGCCTGTGCTAGCTGACAGATAGCAGCACTGCTGCTGCCATTTTCCAGAAAGGCCACACCTCCCATTAGTGTAGCCACTGTGTCTGCACTGCGGAGTGTGGGCCCGATGCCAGCCAAGCCTCTCAACATTTCCATTTCATTGCAGGCTAACTCGCAGGAAAGAGGAGGAGCTGTCCAGCCCCCCTAAACTAAATAAAACTGCAGCCATTGTTCCCCCCTCCTTCTCTCTGCCCCAGAGAAAGTACTGTGAAGTCAATAATTTAGACATACAGTAATAAAATTATTCATGTAGCCAAGACCATGAGACTGAGGCGCACAAAGCAGGGATGTGAGACTGGTACAGGAGAGGAGGTCAGCAGATTGTCTTGTTGTTCAGGCTAAAGGCGGCTGATGACTCACTCTCCATTTATGCCAGACAGAAACCAACTCTGGGGAATTTTTTTCAGTCTCACAAGCACACTATCGGACAGGGCCCCCGCTTTTAGTTTTTTTCCATATGCAGCTACAAGGTGACTTGCTGTACATTTCTACTTTGATATAATACTGAAAGTGGGTGCACACAGAATAGGGATTCATTGTGATATATGTGTGTACTTATCTAAAGTGACAGACCAACAGCTGAGGAGACTCGACCAGCAACAGCTGTCTCTGCCAGTCTTTGGCCATTGCTAATGGAAGCAGAGGCATCTGATGAATAGTTTTGTTACTATGTGGCCTAAATGCCACAAACCCAACAACGTGGTCTCTGTTTGCAGGGATGTACTTTGTGTTATAAGTGGTGTGACTTAACGATAAAGGAAGCTTAGAAACATTTTTTTTTCTGGTTTACCCAGGTGCTGCAGCAGGTGTGGCCATTTGTCGGCCAATACCTTGAGAAGCTGCTGGTGGAAACCATTGCTCCATCTATCCGAGCCTCAAGCACTCACCTCCAGACGCTCAGTTTCACAAAAGTGGACATGGGAGACAAGGTTATACCATTTGAGTGTAACCAAAACACTTCTACATGATCTATGTCAATTATATTGTGTTAACTAGTGTGCTCTGTCTCTGCCTCAGGCTATGAAAGTTGTGGGAATAAAAGCACACACAGAGAATGATAAAGGACAAGTACTGCTGGATTTGTATATAAGGTAAATCTATCTCAATCTTGTGCTCTTATGTATAATACTCATTTTAGCTGATTAAAAGTATTGTTGTGGATAACTTTCACTGTTCTTGTAACCCTAGCTATGTTGGTAATGCTGAGATAAACGTTGAGGTGAAGAGGTACTTCTGCAAAGCTGGAGTAAAAGGCATACAGGTCTGACTTATTTTTCAAGTTTGAGTTAATATTTTGACTTTGTTTAAGCATGAAATTTGAAAATATATATTTTATAAATATACAATGTATCTGTAGTTTTCACCTTCTTTCTTTCCCCTCTATCTTCAGTTGCATGGGATGATGCGGGTGATCCTGGAGCCCCTGATTGGAGATGTACCTATAGTGGGTGCAGTCACCATGTTTTTCATCCGTCGGCCTGTACGTCCACATACATTCACCTCTATTTGTCCTATTGGAGTAGCCCCTCTACCCCCACTCCTGTGACTATCATGTATCTCAGTATAGACCAGTCAGGTTTCCCATTTATTGATTTCTCATCAATCCAAACTGTTTTTGCTACAAACTCAACATTCCTGGGCTTTATCTCTTCTTTTCCAGAAACTCGACATCAATTGGACTGGTCTGACTAATTTGTTGGACATTCCTGGACTGAAGTGAGTCATTCTGAAATAACTCATAATAGGTTTATCTTGTTTAATAATGTGTGGATTAAATTACACTGTAAATGTCAGACCGCAAAGGCTGTTAAGCAGTAGGTTTTCACCAACATACTTCTGTTTTTGTCCCAGTGTCATGTCTGACAGCATGATCATGGATGCTATTGCATCCTTCCTGGTTCTGCCAAACCGTCTAGTTGTCCCCCTGGTTCCAGGCCTGCATGTGGCTCAACTTCGCTCCCCTTTGCCAAGGGTAAACCTGACTATGCATATTATTGCATAGAATAAGTAGATCATAGTATTATTTCTTGTTTCAATCTGTGCTGTTGAGTTACTTCTACGTTTCCTCTTTTAGGGAGTAGTGCGCATCCACCTCCTAGAGGCAAAGAGTCTAGCAGCTAAGGACAACTACGTTAAAGGAGTCATGGCTGGCTTGTCTGACCCCTATGCCATATTAAGAGTAGGCCCTCAGACCTTCACCTCCAAACACTTCGACAACACAGACTCTCCAAAGTGGGATGAGATGTATGAGGTAAGAACAGCAGGAAGTTTCAGATTGTGTCTTTATTTTCTGGATGTTCAAATGTCAGGAGACTTGATCACACATCATCCTGTTTTGTTCTGTATTCAAGACAATGGACTGTTTCAAATAGCGCTGTGAATGTTCATTTCACTCATGGTTACATGAGGCCTCAGCCAGCTTCCATACATCTGGCTCTGTCAGTCTACATGTCCTTGTGTGTGTGTGTCTGGTACATCAGGTCATTGTCCATGAAGTGCCTGGTCAAGAGTTGGAGGTGGAGGTATATGACAAAGACCCAGACCAGGATGATTTCCTGGGCAGGTACATATGCATAGTTCATGTCTCTTGTGTGCATATGTTAAATCTGACATTGTCACCTTTCATCTGTCACCTTTTTTGATCAAGTCTTAAAAGTATGCTACTTTTAAAGCTTGTGTGATATCTATGTTTTATCGTTGTATATGTTTACATTTGCTTTATAATTTTTAAGTAACCATGTCTAACACTTCCCTCTCTTGTAGAACCAAACTGGATTTGGGAATTGTAAAGAAATCTGTGGTTGTGGATGATGTAAGTTAAAATCAGTGTCATATTATTGATTCATGTTCAAGCATATTTTGATTTTTAGACCTTGAATTAATTGCTTTTGCTGTCTGCTCAGTGGTTCACTTTGAAAGACACCACATCAGGACGGGTTCATTTCAGACTGGAGTGGTTGACTTTACTGCCAAACACAGATCGACTGGAGCAGGTTTGAGACTCTTGTTTCAAGTAATAAGTTACTCTGAGGTGACTAGTGTTGATACCTTTGGCATTCATCACAGTTTGTAAAATCAATTTGCCACTATTTGTATTTTTCCCTCAGATCCTGAAGACGAATGAAAGCATAAGCAGCAAGGGTGGTGATCCACCGTCTTCAGCCATCTTGGTTATATATCTTGACAAGGCTGAGGCACTTCCTGTGAGTCATATAACTTCCCTCTGTGCCCATGTGCATGCTCAGCTCACAGTGGCTTCCTGTGTGTGGTTAAACACACTTCAAGCTGTAGATGCCACCTGTCAGACATTCCTTAAAGTTGTTGCGTTGGCCTTCAACCCCTGTGTTCCCCATTGCAATGCCATTCAGTGTAGCTCACTTTACCCAAACACAATACCTACTGTGCTAATTTCTGCTGATATGTCATTTGAACAAAAGGGCAAATCAGCATCAAAGTGGCAGAATCCTGAACACTAAACTCAGTTCCTGTGGTTTAATTGAATGCAGATGTTTACTTCCTGATTAAACCATGTGTTGTGGTATTTCCAGTTACTATTTATGCTGTTGCTATGGTAGCCATGTACACACAGTAATTCACAATGAACGTGTCTTTAGAATGAGTAGTTAGTCTATTTATTGTTCTTTTATTGGTTAAAGAACGTCATTTTTCACATGCTTTACTTTCTATTAATATTTATCCTGTATTTTGTCATTTTTAGATGAAAAAGGGAAATAAAGAGCCCAACCCGATGGTTCAGTTGTCGGTGCAGGACATCACCAGAGAGAGCAAGGTATATCCGCTGGAAAAGTTTATAAAAATGTCACATGTGTTACATGCATGCAACTTATTCTTACTGTGCTACTATAGACTTGTTGGACAACTGTTAATCCAGAGTGGGAGGAAGCGTTTACCTTCTTCATCCAGAATCCTCAGAAGCAGGACATTGATATTCAGGTAACCCTGCACTACACTCTCTTGGGAGTTTGGGATTTTGATAGCTAAACTTGTCGTCTTCGTCTGACTTTTCCTTCACTGTGAAAACAACCAGGTGAAGGATGCAGACCGTGTGCAGACCCTGGGCACCCTGACCATCCCTATGTCTCGTCTGCTGTCCAATGCTAATCTTTCTCTGGACCAGTGGTTCCAGTTAGACAACTCTGGGTCAGCCAGTCGCATTTACATCAACACGGTTCTCAGGGTAAGATAGTATCGCTTATTCTGCACAACATGAAACAAATTTATGGATAAATAGCAAGAAACTATTGTCACAAGCACAATGGAAATGTTAACCTGAACCAGAGTTTTTTCTCAAAGGCGTGATTTTTTTAATGCAATTTTATGTCACAGGTCCTGTGGTTAGATGAGGAAAGTATCCCATCTGATGTATCAACCAATCTGGAGTCTGGACTGAACAAACAGCTGCCCCAGCAGACCTCTCCTCATCCCAGCTTTGCAACAGAGGTAACACAGTATTACAGTAGGGACTTATACTCAGGCCTGTGTTCACCAATTACGAATTCAACTGTATGTGTGTGTGTGTGTGTTTTTTTAGGGACTGCTCAGAATTCACTTGTTGGAAGGGCAGAACCTTGTTCCAAAAGATAACATGATGGGGGGCATGGTGAAAGGCAAGAGCGACCCCTATGTCAAGATCAACATTGGGGGAGAAACATTCACAAGTCAGGTTATCAAGAGTAACCTGAACCCTGTGTGGAACGAGATGTATGAAGTAAGTAACTAAAGGTTGATCATCAAAACTAACACATTAAAAAAACAAACAAATAAAAAAAAACTCATTATAATCATAAGGGAACTAAAGTAGGGGACTGAAGTTTGCATGGACTCATACATAAAAGTGAGATTTACTCTGTTTTAAGAGATCATTTTTAACTTTTTCCCCCCATCAGGTGATTCTTACCGAGCTGCCTGGCCAGGAGCTGCATGTAGAGATGTTTGATAAAGACATGGACATGAAGGATGATTTCATGGGCAGGTAGTGTCACTCTAAATTAATTCATGATTGAATCTTGTGAAGAAAGTCATTTGAGATAAATTACACTCCCATGTCCTGACATGCAGGTTGAAGATCAGTCTGAAGGACATCATTGAGTCTCAGTACACTGATCAGGTAGGATTGTGATGCACACCACTGCATGTTTGGTTAAAATAAGCTCAGACAGGATCTTACCAGTGAGGGTCTGTGATCTTCCTCCCTCCTCAGTGGTATACTCTCAATGATGTGAAGTCTGGTCGAGTTCACCTGGTGCTGGAATGGGTTCCTACGTCCTCAGAGTCAGACAGAGTGGACCAGGTCAGTATTCTCCTCAAGAATGGACTAATCGATTAATGGACCTGTGTTGTGAAGCTACAGTCCATCTGTACTCTCTTGTTCTTTCCTGTGTCTTCAGGTTCTTCAGTTCTATTCAAGGAAATCCTTTCAAAACAAAGCTGTTCCCTCTGCTGGCCTACTGTTTGTCTTTATTGAGCAAGCAGATGGCTTACCAGTAAGTCTTTTATTATTGATACTACTAATGATATTAAAATGGACTGTTAGTGCTTATAACTTTGCTTTTATTTTAATGTTTGTACTTCTCTCTCCAGGTTAAAAAGAGTGGCAAGGAGCCAAAAGTGGGCGCTGAGATTGCACTTGGAGAAGTAGCCCGTAAAACGACTGTAAGACTTCAAACTTGATTGACTGTTCGTGTTGATATTCGAAGATGTTTTCAATCACTTAACATCCAATTAACTGACTGTTGCACTATTGAAGGTGTGCGATCGTACCACATCACCCCAGTGGAATGAGGCTTTCTGTTTCATGGTTCAAAACCCCAAAAAAGATATGCTTGTTGTCAAGGTAGGCAAACTTCAGAGTTTATTGAACTGTAACAATAAAAGTGTGAGTCGTACAGATGAAATCAACACATTGCACAGATACTCCTTTAACGGCTCACGTTATATTTCTGCAGTTCTCCCACAGCTGGACCTTACCCATTGGTTCCCTGGTTGTTCCAATCAGAGAGCTGCTTTCTGAACCAGGGCTGGTCCTAGACCAGTGGTTCCATCTGGATGGAGCTTCACCTGAGAGTCAAGTTCTTCTGAGGGCTGAGCTCAAGGTGAGAGGTCTTTCTGTTTTTTGCTGCACCATCTTCTCTATTAACCTTTAAAATTTCTCTCTTTTCAGTCCCTCTGTTGTCACATCTGTTTTTGTTGCCAGTCTTGTTTTTTCTCTGTGTGCAGCCAAAACAGCCAAGTCTGTATTTTTCTTGTTTTGCTAAACTAGCTGTAATCTGTCCTCCTGTCTCCTTGTTTCTCGGTTTCTACACTGCAGATGCTCATTCCTACCAAATGCCCAGGTGCCATTGATAAGCCTCTGGTGGTTTCAGCAGCAGAGCTTCCTCCTCCTCCTGCCCCTCAAAAACAGGAGACAGTGCTAAGGTTGGATAGTTAAAGCACAGTCTGTTCAGGCTTTCCATGTGCCCCCCTTTCCTAAATTTAATAAAAAATACTCTTTCTTTTTAGCTCAAGTTCAGTGGACGCTCCGGTTGAGACTATAGTTCCGTCACATGAAGATGTTGATGTGAAAGAAACAGCAACTGATGTGATTGAGGAGAAAACTGAAGAATCACCAAGTCCTGCCGTAGCACAACCTCCTCATACTTCCCCAGACCTTAGTTTCGCCAGTGAGGTAAAATCACGAAACAGAAGCAGGTGCATGCTAGAGGGCACGTCTCCATCAAATGTATTCGAGGAAAACATCAATATGAAGTTTAATGATTCCCTCTTATAGGGGCTGCTGAGAGTCGTCCTGTTGGAGGCCAAAAGTCTGGTTGCCAAAGACAGCATCATGGGCATAAAGGGCAAGAGTGACCCCTATGCAAAGATCAGCGTTGGAGAGTTTTTGTTTAAGAGTAATGTGATCAAGGAGAATCTCAACCCAGTCTGGAATGAGATGTATGAGGTTTGTAAGAGACAGAGATTTACTTATTTTAGAATAAGTTGGGAAATAGGCAGCAATGGCAGAATCGGTGTAAAGTTTTATCAATGAAACTGTTCTGTTCACTAAGGTGGTGCTGCGGCCTCAGTCAGGACAGGAGGTGCAGGTGGAGCTGTTTGACAAAGACATGGACAAAGATGACTTCCTGGGCAGGTAACTGAAAACTCTGAAATGTCTCTGTTCAAAGACTAAACTGTTGTTTTACCATTAAAATAAATCACAGCCCCGTTATTGTATGATGTATTTTTGTAGAGCTTTACTAATGGGAAATAAGCTTACCTTTACTCATTAAAGAATCGTCTTATGATCATGAATAAATTGGATTATGTAAGGGTGGGGCTTCACTTTCAAAGGTTGTGGAAACTTCACTTAGTCATCTTCTTTATGAGCAGATTCAAAATCAGTGTGGCAGACATCATCCATTCTCAGTACACAGACCAGGTTAGTGCTTAATGCCTCACTGTGATTCTTGCTGTGTAATCATAGGCTTTTATTCGATAAGCGTGCGTCTGTGTTTTAGTGGTACACCCTGAATGACGTGAAGTCTGGACGCATCCGCCTGATACTGGAGTGGGTGCCAGCAGTTTGCCACAATGCCACCCTGGACCAAGTTAGTAAAACTTCTTTTCATGCAGAAACAAATAACCTTTTTTTTTTATTTTTCAATTCCTCACTTATTTGCCCTTTAACAAACATGACTCTCTGCTTAGGTCACTGTGCACGTCAGTACCAAGTTCTTGAAATACTTTTCATTCTGTCCTAAAGGTGATGCATTTGCAGTCACTACAGTCCTTCCAGAATAAGGCAGTTTCCTCCGCAGCGCTGCTCTTCGTCTATGTGGACAGAGCACACTCATTGCCTGTAAGTGCCCTGTAATTTGGTTAGGTGATAAACAGTGCATCTGCTGTCTCATAGTTACACATAGACAACAGTTTGGAAAGTAGCTGTAAACGAAAAGACTTTCTGCTCCCACCAAGAGAAAAACTCACTGCATGATTATTTTTTTAAGTTATCACCAGATTAGAGCAACAGTCACTGTTGTTGGAAAATGTAATGCAGCAGTGTGAGCCAGGAATGCTTTACTTGTTGAAGAAACCAATTTTCAACCAATTGTTGCTTTATTTACAGGATGAACACAAACTCACCATATGATTATGTGTGTTGTGTGCTTTTCTGTGTTCAGTTTAAGAAAAGTGGAAAGGAGCCCAAGGCTGGGGCGGAGCTTGTTCTCGGTAACACAACTTACAAAACCAAGGTATGAGAGTCACTGCTACATGTTAAGAATATGCAAGTTTAAAGTTTACTGCCCCCTGCTGGTGGTACTCTGAAAGATACAGGGATTGACAGCGATGGAGGACAATTTGTACACTATTGTGCCCTTCAATATACCCCTTTGACAAAATAAAAAGATTAAGAAAAAAAAAACTTTATCTAAGTTAAAACACAAATTACCCCTCCTCTTTTTTCTGCTCTCCTGTTTTTCTATCTATAGGTTTGTGATCGCTCCAGATCACCCCAGTGGAGTGAAGCATTTTACTTCTTGGTTCGTGATCCCATGGAGGAGATGCTTATAGTAAAGGTGAGTTTCTCACAATACTTAGGTGTTGTATGTGAGCCTGTTGCCAGTGTCAGGGACATATTAGCCTCTAACTGATATAGCATGTGGTTTTTACTTCTGCAGTTGTCCAGCGCATGGGACCAGCCAATGGGATCTCTTGTAGTTCCCGTGAGAGAACTTCTCTCTGAGCCGCAGCTGGTCCTGGATCAGTGGATGCCTCTAGATGGTGCTTTAGCAGAGAGTGAGCTCCTTCTGAGGGCTGAACTGAAGGCAAGAGGAAACACACTCGCATATGTATTTATCACAAGTTATAAATGCAAGAAATAACCCTCTGAAAATGTCACACTAATAGATCTTAAGCTCAAGAATGACTGAGGCTGTACAGCCCTCTGTAACTGGCTCCAAAAAAGAGGAGGAGACACTGAAAGAGATTAAACAAACATCTAAAGCATCTGATGAGGAACAAAAAAGCTCAGAGCTTCTTGCCGATGAGTGAGTGTTTTGTGCCTGATTTGCACATATTGTTATGTCCTGTTTTTTTCTTTTAATATGATCCATATTTTACACATATTTTAACACAAGCAAGTTCTATAAAGACAGTCTGAACCAGAACCAAGCTATTGTAAACATTATATAAAAAAAATTAAAGTGCTCTCTATCAAAGCAGGAACAAAATAATTCACAAGCAAGACTGACTCTGAAAAAATGCTTTCAAAGTGCCTTAGTTATCAAGTGAACAGAATTTAAACTTACTTTGCTGGTTTTTCTTCACACCTGTGGTACTTGTGTTTTGTGACAACTGTGTGTATTTTCAGACCTGTTTCAGTGTCCAGCCAGTTTAAACACCCTGATGAAGTCACAGCAGCAGAAATTTCAGCTGCTGTTGAACCAGCTGACATCCACTCTGTCCTTGACACATTTCCCGCTGCCACAGTGAGTCACAGCACAATGTTTGTCAGTTGTTATTTTATTTTGACTCGTCTCTTTTTTATCATCATGACACTCATGCAATTTCCTCAGCAGGTCGAAGAACCAGCAGATACAGTGGGACCTCCCGCTCAGTTTAACACAGCAGCTGAAGAAGACCTAGGGCTACAGAAAACACAAACAGAGGGGTGAGCTCAATATCAAAGCAAAGAAAACCATTTGTCTTCCTGTTCATTTTCTTTTAAGGATAAAAATGAAGAGAGAGACATAGAAGCAAACTTGTTTAAATTTCTGCACTGTGTTGTTGTGTGCAGGGCTGGTTTGGGCGAGCTTGCACAGGCAACTGTAACGAGTCTTCCTGCAGACACCCTGGGCCCAGCAGAGGTCACGGAAATCCCTGAGGCTGATGAAGTTCTTCCACCACACACCAGCCCCAGTCAGGATTACGCAAAAGAGGTGGGCTCAGTTTATACCCTGCTTAACAGAACGAGAGATAAATAAACTTTCTTCTACCTTCTACTGGCATGTATTTCCCTTTACTCTGTACCTTTTCTTGAATATTTGTAATATATTAAACTGTAGCGACGACTTTCCTTCAACAAAAAAGGCTGCTTGGGTTTAGGTTCGCTTGCATGTATGACTCGCTTGAATGATCAGTCCGGTTTGGGTGTTAAAAAAATGATTTATTGTTCAAAAAAGGAAAGAAAACACACTGATATGGGTCCAAAACCTTTGCCTTTGACTGAAAAGGTGATATGATGAAATGAGGTTAAAACAGGATGAATGAATGAAGCGGTAAAAAACGATGAGAAACTTACCAAACCCATTGTCTGACTACACCTGTGATTTAAATAATCCACCAAACATCCCAAAACCACACCCCTCAGCGACGATCCCTGAAGTGACATACCTATAGAAATAAACTTTCAACAAATATATTTTGGCTCCTACATAAACAATGAGAAAACAACCCCATAAGCATAGCGGAGTGCACTGTGGACTGTCTGCTGAAGAGTGTTTCTTCAATAAGTCATGTGTGATTTAATATAAAAGAGAATCTAAAAATATCAAAACCTATAATAATGCCTCTAGCTCTTGTCTCTCTTAATACTTTTAGTTCAACCAGAAAGGTTTTAACTTACTTTGGTATGTCAAAAAGAACAAAACCATTTTAGAAAAAACATTCTGGAAAGTTGTTTAAAAAAAAGTTAAGCTTAACCAACATTTGTGTGATGAGCAAGACCAAAGCAGACATGAAAATGTTTGGTTTTTGTAGATTAAGTGAAATTATGAAGCACAGGTCTATTTTTTCAGATAGAGAACTATCATGTGACTTACAAAAGTCTTCTAGCATGCTTTGTGCAGGAGGACTTCCTGTATGTTTTCACCACTTACAATCTTCCTCCTGCAGGGGCTGCTGAGGATTCACCTGCTAGAGGCCCAGAATCTGGTTGCAAAGGACAATCTCATGGGGGGTATGGTGAAAGGCAAGAGTGACCCATATGTAAAGATAAGTGTGGGGGGCTTAGCGTTCAAGAGTCACGTTATCAAGGAGAATCTCAACCCAACATGGAATGAGATGTATGAGGTATGAATGATTTTTGGCTTAAGCATCACATTTTGTCTTTATTCTGCTGCATGTACAGTATCCTGTGTAAATATGGCCCTGTGTTTTTTTTTAACAGGCAGTATTAAAGCAGAACAGTATCCAGGAGATCAAGTTTGAAGCTTTTGATAAAGATTTAGATGCTGATGACTTCCTTGGCAGGTGTGTTGATCAATGAGTAACTTAAATTACTGATCAAGATAAAAAGATTGGAGTCATGTGTACGCTAATAAGAATTGAAAAAAAGCCTACAGGTTTTCTGTATTACATTTTTATCCTCTCAGGAAATACTGTCATGTCTTTGTGGTCACAGGTTCAGTGTTAAACTCAGTGAGGTCATCCGATCCCAGTACACTGATCAGGTTTGGAAATAATTGGTTGTCTAAATCTTGCCATGTTTTTTCTTAGTGTAAAGAGTGTCGCTCACATTTTCTTTAACTGACTCTGTCTCTGTTGCAGTGGTACACCCTGAATGATGTGAAATCTGGACGGGTTCACCTGATACTGGAATGGGTTCCAGCTGTAGCAAATGCAGACAGACTTGAACAGGTCAATATTTACCCGTTCCTACATCTCTGTGGTTCACCAGGCATTCTGTACTTATTCAAAAATCCTTCGAACATGCAAATATGCAGTGTCTCCAGCCTCTTAGATAATGCTGTAGAACCTTCCCGGCATGCAGGTCAAAAGATCAACATTGCAGCACAGTTATCAGGCCTGACCGGCTTTTTTTCTGTTTACAACAGGTACTGCAGCTTCAGTCTCTCCAGTCTTATCAGAACAGAGCTGTTCCCACCGCTGCTCTACTCTTTGTCTACATGGAGAGAGCACATTCACTACCCGTGAGTCCACTGCAGTTTGTTTTCATACTGTGCAGAACTTCAAAAAGGAATTGGTCTTGTAATAAAAATATGATGCCTCCTCTTCTCTCTTGATAGTTGAAGAAAAGTGGAAAAGAACCTAAAGCAGGAGCAGAGCTTGTTCTCGGTGAAACAACCTACAAAACAAACGTAAGGCTGGTGATGTCTGGTGCAGTTTAATAAATCTTCTTTAATTCAAGCTCAATTGAATTTTCATTATCTCTCTTTAGCTGTGTGACCGCAGCACCAGCCCTCAGTGGAATGAGTCTTTCTACTTTCTGGTTCATGACCCTAAACATCAAATGCTTGTGGTAAAGGTGAGACATTTAATTGTTTATTCCTGTCTGGAAGATCTTGTTTCCCTTTGACGACAGTAGAGCTAAAATATTTGAATTATCTCCTTTTTCTTACAGTTGTCCAGTGGTTGGGACCAGCCAATGGGATCTTTAGTGATTACTATGAAAGAGCTGCTTGCAGAACCACAGCTGGTCCTTGATCAGTGGTTCTGTTTGGATGGAGCTCAACCTTATAGCCAGATTCTGCTGAGGGCCGAACTCAGGGTAAAATTGCAAATACATCTTTGCATAGCGTTGTACAAGCTTTGAATACAACATCTCATAATTCATCATACTTGTTTTTGTACTCTGAAATTATTTTAATAGATTCTTCAAACCAAAATGGTGGATATGATCAGTGCAGGGACTCTGCCCTGTGCCACCTTAGGCAGTGGATCTGGAAACGGGAAGGTGAAGTTGTCTCTTTCATACGCCTCACAGGAGAGGAAGTTCAGCGTTGTCGTCCATGCTTGCCGGTATGCCACATCAAATTGTGCTCCCAAATGAAAGATTGTGTTTCCACCACTGGCATACTGCTGGTATCATAGTGACATTTCCTATTCAGATTTAATCATACCTATGTTTACCATTTGATAGGACATGATTATTTCAAAGCCTCAACATACTGGCTTTAGCTTTAAAACTCACCTTACTCCTATACCAGTTAACATAGTACAAGAAAAGTCCAGAAGAGGAATAGAAGTCACACCAAAATAAAGGATGAAGGACAAAAGGTTTAAACTGTGTTCCTCCTACATGCTTAATGATCTAACAAGATATGCTTTGCTTTGATTATGTACAGAGGTCTGATGTCTCAAAATAAGGACGGGGTAGACAGCTATGTCTCTCTCATGCTGCTACCAGACAAAAGCAAAGCCACCAAAAGAAAGACAGCAGTAAGGAAAAGAGACCTAAACCCAGAGTTCAATGAGAGGTAATTAGATTATTGGATTATTGTACATCTATAATCCTTTTTTAATCTTCTGTTGTATCTGTTGATGTTTATAGCAATCATTTTTGTCAATTTCTTTGAGGTTTGAATATGATTTCCCCCTGGATGAGATAAGATTCAGACGCCTCAGTGTATCAGTGAAGAATAACTCTGCCTCATTCAGGAGCCGGGACATCATTGGACAGGTCAGTGCGAGGCTGAGCTTTCACTCCCCACTGTAATTCTACTATGGCTAAAATGTGTATCATGTCACACACACACAGCAGCCAGGTTACAGCTCCATAATCTTACAATATAATGATCATGCAGCTACATCTACGCTTGTACAGCTGCCTGCCCAGCTGGTTAACTTTTGTTATTTTGTAAGGGCATGAGTGTTTTTGAGAATTTCACTGGATTTTACTCTCTCTCACTCTGACCATAACTGAAAAGTACTTTTATATACAAGTTAACTTTTCATTTTCAACCTTTAGGTACAGATAGAGTTGATGCAGATGGATCTGATTTCCGGTGTCACAGAATGGTGAGCATCACTTTGAAAAAATAAATTTAAGTATTTGAATAAAAAATGTACAACATCAACAAATGTACAACATACAACATCAATCTTTCTGTGTTCCAGGTTCACACTCACAGAGGAAGATGAATAGTTATTTTGCTTGCCGCTGTCAAAGTAATGTGCTGATGATAAGTTCATCAATCCATGGTATGTGCAGCAGTGCCACACTGCAACAGCTCACACAGATGCCTTCTCCTTGCCACCTTTGCATACACTCCGACTGTAGCCGCCTTACCTGCACCCACCCAGGTCTAGTATGTATCTAAGTGTGATGCCTTGGCCAAGTTTATAAGAATAAAGTGCAAATTAAAATCAACTGAAAGTCACTTTATGAAAAATATCAGCTTCAATGTTCGTTAAAGAGAAAGACTGAATATGCCTGAAAAGAATGAAGTCATTTTTTGTTTGTTTGTGAGCTGTGTTTTTTTCCAACATTATTCATGACTTGTTAGAAGTGAGGTAATTTGTCATATTTTTTCAATGAATTGTTCATTTATTCAAATGCCATTTCAGTATTCTGGATCTTTTTATTTACAAGCTTCCATTGCAGTTATCTGATTTTTTTTCAGCACTTTGCTATGTTTGTATTTTATTTTTCACAGCACTTTGCTATATTTGTATTTGAAGGTTATTTTAAAGGGGATCTTTTTATGATATTACTTTTGTTCAAAACATGCATTTGCCACTTCTATAAACTGTTTAATGCTGGTTTGATTATATGTATATCTGCAAAGATTATGACTAAAATCCAATGATGTTTGTTGGAAGGTAAGAACAAAAATAAACAAAATTTGCACTGCTAACTCTGTGTGTGTGTGTGTGTGTGTGTGTGTGTGTGGGTGGGGGGGGGGTATTTGTGGCTATATATAATGCTTTTTTTAATATCCAGTTTCACAGTGTATTTTATTGGTGTGCCTGAAGTACTTCATATGGACATTTTATTCTGCTGTTACATACAGTACAGTATCGAATATACAAGGGTGTCCTGTCATCTCTATCAAAGACCATCCCCTAAAAGAAAACATACAAGCAAATTAAGGCCAAGAGACTTTTCAGACCCTTGGAAGTAAAGGCCTTGCTCGCTGAGGTACAGTACTTCAATGAAAATACTAATGCCAAATGCATCAATTTAATATTCTCCCTTTGAAAAGGCTTATGGTAAAACCAGGGCTCATCTATCAGTTTTATTCAGATGTGTAGTCTCATGAACAGCGAAATGAATCCGTGTTTAAAATAAGAATTAAACTTAAACAGGACAGGGGGTATCCGAGTGGTGTAGTGTACTTATATTTTAGCTGGAGTCTGTCACCTCGCTAACCACCTCCCCGCACCTTATACGACGTCATGTGTCTAACAAAGCTTTCGCTTTCATTTACAAGGAAGAGCCGACGTTTAAAGGGACTGACCTAGTGAAGGTAAGACTAATATGCCACGAAATCATTATTGGTTAATCTTTCAGTGTTTAGATGTTTTCAAAAGGGTGAATACAATGTTAAACGTCGGACATGTGTGGCAGGCTGTTTGAAAGTAAAGGGTAAAGTCAGCCTGACAGAGTTTGCATATTAGTTAAGGTGACCATACGTTGACGTTAACCCGGTGACCATATTCTGAGCTATTCTATAGCTTGTAACCGAAAACACCGTCGATATTTACAGTTTTCTGTATCGAAGTACACCAGACACACTCTCAAAAACATTGGCTTAAAAACAACCCAATCTGGGTCGTTTCCCAACCCAGCGCTGGTTAGATATTGGACAGAACACATGCTTTAACATGATTTAACCCAACTAATTGGGTTGGTTTACTTAACCCAACAATTGGGTTCTTTAAACACTGCATTTGGGTTGTTAATATTTAATATTAAATTACATTGATGCATCAAATTTCATGGCCCCTGGGGCTAGTTTGCCCCTACCGCCTCTCCGACTACCACCACACAACACTCACAATCATACACCAGTGGGACCAAGGTGGGTTAAGTGTCTTGCCCAAGGATACAACGGACATACTTAAGATAGGGGGAATCGAACCACCAACCTTCTGGTTATTGGACAACCACTTGCAATACATATACATATACATGTATATATACAGTATATATATATATATATATATATATATATATATATATATATATATATTAGTAAGATGGTAGGGGAAAGCCCCGCCTCCTTCGCCTCTGATTGGCTAGGAAAGCTGGAAACGTCATCACCATAGACTGTATATACTATGGACAACTTGGTTCTGTCTCATGCTAGTATACGGATTTGAAGCCAAACAGCTCTCGATATTTATGGGATTTTTCTTCATTTCCTGAAACCAGCACTGCGCAGTAGCGCATTCGACGTGAGAGTCGCAGAGAGTCGCTGTGATAACGCTCGGCTCAAACAGGGTATCCCGGGGTGAGCTACACAATCACTGAACGCCAGTAGGCTGTATCAGGTGTCAATCAAAGAAAACATGAACCCCCTAATAACTTTTAAAAACAGAGCTTCACAGAAAAAAGAGGACTTGAGCATAAACCTGTCTTACTATAACTACATGTCAACATCACAAGCAGGGGGGAGAAAAAATTATGTTCTGTGTAATAAATTTCTAAAGTTTGTCCACAGCCCCACAAGATTTGCTGGCTGAGGCGGGTTTTATAACCTGTACTGCAGCCCAACAACAGAGGGTGCTGTTCTCAGGGCTTCACCCAGCAAGGAGGCAGACGCTGTCCATTCTATATACAGTCTATAGTCATCACACGCTCAAGCCAAACGCGGGCTGTCGGCTCTGTACATCGAACAGAACATTACAGAAAATTATCGCACTTCTAAATACCCTAACCCTAACCCTAACCCTAAAAACAATGACGTGTCACAGCCATAAGGAATAACCAGTCGGAGCCCAGCACCTCTCGCCAATCAGAGGCGAAGGAGGGCGGGAGCTTCCTTTACCATCCTACAAATTTTTTTTTTTGCCAACTGCCCTACCTCCTGAGTTATCACCGCCACTTAACAGCTGCCTTTTCATTTTACTGACTGAGAATGAACTTAATTTGTAAACATTTCACTTTTCTTTTTTTTTAATATGGTTTTCTTATCTTTTCAAAATAAACAATACAGAACAGGAGGTTGTATCTTGCATTCACTTCATTCCACATCACAAAGTCATCCATTGATTGTTCATATCAACCTGAAACATCAAGACAGAGAGTCCATTAAAGCAGTAGTTCAACATTTCTGACCACACCACACCGCAAATCAGCTAACGTGTTAGCTTGCTACATTTGAAGCAATGTACTTTATGCTACTTACATTGGCTAACCATTAGCTTGGTCACCTACCACTCGATTCCTGAAGGCAGAAGCTGATACACAACAATGCTTCACAAACTTACATCTTAACAACAAAATGAGGGTTTGTATAATAATATGAAGTCATTTATATGGTAAAGCAATAGTGGGAATGTAACAAACCTTGCTTTGTACATCTACTTGCTTCAGCAGTTGTGGCATCAATCTGGTGAGTGGGTGGTGCTTGGTTTCAAATGCCCAGTGGTAGTCCACAATAATCAAACAAAGCTGTATAGAAATTACAACCCAACAGCTAATAACTCTGTTCCCAACGTAAATAACCTTGCGAATTGGGTACTCAGAATACCCAACTCCATGAAAATAAAACAAATAAATTGGCGAACAGGCTCAACCCAGTGGTTGGGTTGGAAAAACAACCCAGCATTTCTTTGTGCGCAACTAACTGTTTTATATCTTTGATATAAGTTCTAGGTAAAGATGGCCAACGTGGAAAGGGTCAAGCCCATGGATGTAAGTCAAACTTCACAGAAGGAAAAGTGTTGTTTAATATTAATGTGTTTTTGAAGTGTGACTTGGCCCAGTCATATGAATGAAATTTTGTATGTTGTATCTCATGACAGTGCGATCCTTCAACATCTTGTGAGGTATGTAGGCTGTGTGCGTGTGTTTGTATGCAAAGTATCACACCCAGTTAAGCGCATTTATTGTACAAGTCAAAGTAGAGCAGTTAGCTGTACTTTTCTCTTGGTAAACAGACCCTTTTTCAGCAGGCTTTTCTGTTTCATGTAACGTCAATGTCAAAAATGTTTAATATTCCTGTGTTTTTGAAGTGTGACTTGGCCCAGTCATATAAATTAACATTTTAATGCTGTATCTCGTGATAGCGCTCTGAACAGCGTTCAACATCTTGTGAGGAAGTTTGGCCGTGTGCGTGTGTTTGTGTGAAAAGTATCACAACCAGTTAAGCACATTTATTGTACAAGTCAAAGTAGAGCTGTTAGCTGGACTTTTCTCTTGATAAAAAGACCATTTTCAGCAGGCTTTTCTGTTTCATGTAACGTCTATGTGAAAAATGTTGTTTAATATTTGTTTTTAAAGTATAACCTGGCCCAGTCATATAAATTAAATTTTGTATGCCGTATCTCATGACAGTGCTCTGAACAGCCTTCAACATCTTATGAGGTAGGTACACTGTGTGTGTGTGTGTGTGTGTGTGTGTGTGTTTGTGTGCAAAGTATCAGACCCAGTTAAGTGCTCCTATTGTACAAGTTAAAGTAGAGCAGTTAGCTGGACATTTCTCTTGATAAAAAGACCATTTTCAGCTGGCTTTTCTGTTTTATAACGTTTATGTAGACACGGAAGTATGGATTTAAAAACTCAGGACTGTGCCAAGCCCGAATCACCACTGACTCTTTTTTTTTTCTCTCTGCCCTCCTGGGCCCGTCTGTCTGCTTAGGTGGTACTTTTAGTTGCACACAGATAAGATGAGATGAGCACCCATTTTATAAGCTTCCAAAAAGCGGTTGTTCCTTTTACATTTTACAGTTTTTACATTTTGCGTCCATAAATTACCCTACAAAAATCCTTCAGGCCAGACATGTTATAACTGAATGCCAAAGAGTATTTTTGTGCTGGCTCCTAAAGTGTGATTTCTCTATTATGTTTACTAATTTTGTTTTGCCACAGGACATAAGGACAGCTCAAGTCACTCTAACCTTCAAGTGGTCAGGGGATTCTCCACCACAGAAGTCCAAGCTAGAGATGGCTCTTCAGACATGGGCCACTAAAAAATATAATGGAAACTGCAAAGTTGTCAACATACGTGGTGGAACAGCTGTGATAGAGTTTGAGCCAGCTCCAGGTGCAGTATGACTAAATGTTAAAGCAAAATTTGAATTGCACATTTATTAAACAGCGCAATAAAGACTCTGAGATCCTATCGAAAGAGTATTGTTTATACAAATGTATTTGATAATGCAGTATTTTAATTCATCTTCTTTCAAAGTGAAATGATTTTTGTCTCCTTTTTTTCAGACTTGAGTGACCTTCAGGAACTGTGTGGTCAAACTCTGGAAATCAAAGACAAGCTCAAAAACTCAGCACAAATTATGTGTGCCATTGTAAAACCTCCAAATCTTAAGACCGAAATACCAGACAACACTTCAGAGCCCCAAGATGTAAGTTCAGTGTTGTCAGAAATGGCAAGTTAATCCCATTAAATTCAGTTTAATTATTTCATGGTATTTGTTTTTAGGGAGAACAAGACCTGAGGAAACAAAGCTGTGACGTGGATATTGATAGGGCTCCCAGAGTGTCATTTCTTGATTATATTTACCGATTCTGTATTGCCACAGGACAAAAGAAAAGCTCAATTCACTCTATCTATCAAGTGGTCAGGGGATTCTCCACTACAGAAGACCAAACTAGAGATGGCTCTTCAGACATGGGCCTGTAAAAAAAATATAGGAAGCTGCAGAGTTGTCAACATACGTGGTGGAACAGCTGTGATAGAGTTCGAGCCAGCTCCAGGTGCAGTATGACTAACTAGTATAGTAAAATTTTAATTGCACATTTATTTAACAACACAATAACGACTCTGACATCCTATTTAAAGAGTATTGTTTATAAAAAATGTATTTGAAAATGCAGTACTTTAATTCATCTTCTTTGGAAGGGAAATTATTTTTGTCTCCTTTTTTTCAGACTTGTGTGACCTTCAGGAACTGTGTGGTCAAACTCTGGAAATCAAAGACAAGATCAAAAACTCAGTGCAAATTATGTGTGCTATTGTAAAACCTCCAAATCTTGAGACAGAAATACCAGACTACACTTCAGAGCCCCAAGATGTATGTTCAGTGTCCTCAAAAATGGCAAGTTAATCCCATTAAATTCTGTTTAATTCTTTCATGGTATTTGTTTTTAGGGAGAACTACACCTGAGGAAACAAAGCTGTGACGTGGATATTTATAGAGCTCCACTGCCAAAACCACAAAGTGCGAGAGATCCTCCAAATACCCTTCTCCAGAAGATTGATTACAGTGGATCAGATTTTTCTCTCAAGAGCAAAGATCCCAAAAAGTTAATGGATGAACTGAAAATCAACAAGAAGAAGGAGAGCAAGCTCCTGCAAACTGTATCTTTTGACAGAATGACTGTTCATGGGCCGAGCCAGAGCCGAGATGCCATCGAAAAGTTACTCAACACAGTAACAAACACTGATCCCTCTCAGGAAGAGTCTGCAGCAGCAAATCAAGACACACCAAACATTGGCATGAACATCCAGGACCCTCTCCTCAACAGTGGCCTCATCTTTGCAGAAAAATACTGGAAACTGATCAATACTTCCTTCTGCAAGGATTTGGCCAAAATAAAAGCTAAGTTTGGAGTGGACGTAAAAGAATTAAGCAACAGTTCAGGCCAAGTCAAAATTGAAGTTTGTTGGAAGGAATCAGGAAGAAATGCATCAATGGAGAGCCATGCTCTTAGAGCTCTTCTCCATCTGTACCAGAAGATTGCTACATCCCCGTTAAACAACACCTAACCTCATGGTGCCGCATGCCCTTTTATTTTAAAATGTGCATTTGCCACTTCTATACACTGTTTAATGCTGGTTTTATTATGACTTAAATCCAATGATGTTTGTTGGAAGGTAAGAACAAAAACAAACAAAATTTGCACTGCTTACTGTGTGTGTGTGCGCGTCTTCATTTGGACATTTTATTCTGCTTTTAAATACAGTACAGTCTCGAATTTACAAGGGTATCCTGTCATCTCCATTAAAGACCATCCCCTAAAAAAAACACATACAAGCAAATTGAGGCCAAGAGGCTTTTCAGACCCTTGGAAGTAAAGGCTTCGCTCGCTGAGGTACAGTACTTCAATGAAAATACTAATGCGAATGTGGCAAGGGGGGTGCTATTTTGTTCACAATTAATGATATTGTCTCCAACCAGCAACGCCACCTGGGGACTTGCACCCCGGGAAACTGTACTTTCAAACTAAAATCATAACAGGAAGCTAAAATAAAAATAAGGCAACACAGGTAAGTTCTGAAAGAGGCAGAGACAGAGTTAAAAATGTTCATTAGACCAAAAATGAAGTTAAACTTAAATATAACAGAAATTTAACCTAGGAGGGAAAGAAAGGGATAAAGTTAAAACAACATCACAAAACACAGATAAGGGTCAACAAAGTTAATTTTATTTCTATAATAAATTTAAAACAAGGCCTTCTGCAAAAGTTAAAAACAGTTAAAATGTACAATAAACCCACTTAAACTAAATCAAAGAAACCCAAACTAAGTTAACTTAAGATAAGCTGAGGCCACCAGAAGGGAGGCAGACTACAGAGGGAAAGTGCAGGGGGGTGCTCCCTTATACTCACCAAGTGAAGCACAGCACACACACTTCAAACCTTCAACAAAAGAAACAAATGCACCCGGGGTGCCTAGCCTCCCAAACTAGTGGGCTCAACTTCTGAAATAAAATAAAAGGATTAACCAAAGAAACAAACAAACCAGCAACAGCGAACCCAGTTGGTAAAACTAGAATTACTAAAGGAGAAAAGCAACTAAGGGTAACTCAGAACAGAATGCAAACTAATGGGGGAGTAACTGGGTAAAACAACCAAACTTAGAGGTAGAAACAAACCAAGTAAGGGGGGGAAACCAATCAAAATGGCAGAAACAACCAAAGTAAACAGGCAAAAATAACAATAGTTAATATGGGCAACAAAACAGCAGCAGGTCTACCACCTACAAACAAAAAGGACATGCTGTTAAAAGCAATCATAAAACTCTAAAGATTAAAAGTTACCAGCCACCCTACTCACCAGCACTCCGAGCAGAGCAGAAGGCCGACTGCAGGTGAGCTGCTGCCTTTTATGCAGCTGACCTGATTAGGGGAAGGGAGGGGTTAGAGGAGGAGGGAGAGCTGCATTCGACAGCAGCAAGGTGCTGCCTGCCACACTAAGTTCACCCATTAGTGGATAACGAAAAGTGCGTTGATGCGTCAATCAAAATCAATGTAAAATTCTCCCTTTCAAACGGCCTACGGTACTACCAGGGCTCATTTATCAATTTTGTTCACGTATGTAGTCTCATAAACAGTGAAATGACTCCATGTATAAAAATAGAATTCTCTGTTCATATTTCTGACGAATAATCGGAAACTTTAACAGGACAGAGGATGTCCAAGTGGTGTAGCATAGGGGAGAGTGGGTTAAGATGAGACATTTTTCATATTTCAGATCACTACATCAAGGCAATCATGGTTTTGTCTCTAACTAGTGTATCTGTATATATTTCAAGATGTTGTGCATCCCTGCAAACCAACTGAATGAGTCTTAACAAAACTATCTTGATAATATAGTATGCCGAAAAAAAGTGGTTTCCTACGGTCAACTTATCCCGTGTATGGGGTAAGTTGACCTTAGGAGCCGGATAAAGTTGAGCCGTATCCCTACTATCCCCTCACTCTCCACCTCAGCCCTCCCTCACCTTCTAGCTTCCTAAATAACAGTCACTTCCTCACATTCATGTGTATTTTTATCTATTATACACTATTCAACTGATACAATAATTCTTTTTATAATTATTGCATATAACTGCTAAAAAGCTGTTTGGTAAAAAGTCATTTTAACACCAGAATGTCTTTAAGTGATTCAGAACATTCACAGCTGTATTTTTGAAAAGAAAAAGTCAAACATTTCAACAATCTGAACTGAAACTCTGATCCTCTCACTAGACTCCTTTACTTTCTCAGTAAATCCACCAGCTCAGTTTACCCCAGAATAACTATTATGACTTTATTAGTCCTCTGGGCTAAAATGGTGGACTTTTATGCTCATGTTGTAGCTCATAGATACCAAAATTGATGTATAAACAAATTTAAAATGATCTTTTTATTGGTCTGAACACAATTCCAATAAAACTTATGACAGACTAAATTCACTTTCAGGAGTGAAAAATGTTTTTTTTTTTTTTTTTTCCGGAAATAAATGTCAAACCCTTTACCTGCTTCTAACCTTCACAGACTCCATGAATTGATGCCCAGCTCCGAAATAGGGGAGACCGGGGCTTGTTGTCACATGGGTAACTTGTCATATTGCAATTATCTTTGCCACCAGAGGGCGCAACTGAAAAGTGGAATACTAGTTTTCTTCCTTTACATGGTCATTGATTGTGTCCTGTCTGAGAAGAGAAGAGCACATTGTGAGCTGAGATGAGCGCCAATTAACCATTTCGCACAACCCAAAGTAAAAAAAAATAATAATTATATATTTGAAAATAAGCTTCTTCGAGATAAAAATCCTAGCAGTGAAACATGTGGACTTGATAGAGGACAGATTAAGGCACCCTGTCATACCTCAGTCATTGTTCTGTTTTAAGCTAACTCTAAGCAAATTAGTTAATTAGCAAACATGGTAGTTGTTTATTAGCAGTTATAATATTGTAATTTTGACTTTATTTTTACAGAAAAAAAAGAGTGGTTTAAAGGAGAAGAGAAAACGAGAAGACATGGTCAGGAATTACAAAAAAAAAGCAGAACATGGCAGTGCAGTTCCTGACGTGATGCTGAGGGCAGTCAAACAGGTGACCCTAGCTAATAAGTCAATCTGGAGTTCAATAAAAGACTTTAATGTCAACTACCATACCATGGCTCTGTACTGCAAAACATTCACCCCAGATAAAATACAGAGTCAGACACCTCTCCAAACCCCAGAGCATGTTGCATATTTTATTTATGTTAACATCTGTTTAATGGCTTGGTTCAATGACTTTTTCTAGCTCAATGATAAACATTTTCTGTGCCTGACTTTGATGTTCACTTTCATGTTGTTAAAAAAAAATGAGAACAACAATAATTTTGTCCTTGTTTTATTAGCTGCAAAATCAACTGTGACATCTTACCCCATATAGTGAGACAACTTGCTGGATAGTGGGGCAACATGTCACATGTTCACACTCTCATTTTGATTGCTTATAACTCTGCACTAACACAAGATATGAAAATGACATGAATAGGAAAAAAAGTGTGACAACAAGCCCTGGTCTCCCCTATTTGGTCACTTGATCTTTTTTTCTTTTCTTTTTTTTTTTTTTTCTATTTCCAAGCAACAGGGGGTGGCTCAAATTACCTTTTGGCTCAACTTACCCCACTCTCCCCTAGTTTAACTGGAGTCTGCCTCCTCACGCAGCTTTAACCCCCGCCCCTCTAACAGATTCGACAGCATTTGATACGACGTCATGTGTCTCGCAAAGCTTTCGCTTTCATTTACAAGGAAGAGCCGACGTTTAAAGCGACTAATCTGGTGAAGGTAAGACTAATGTGCCACGAAATCATTATTGGTTAATCTTTCAGTGTTTAGATGTTTTCAAAAAGGTGGATGCAATGTTAACCGTCGGACATGTGAGGCAGGCTGTTTGAAAGTAAAGGGTAAAGTCAGCCTGACAGAGTTTGCATATTAGCTTGTAACCGAAAGCACCGTCGAGCTGTTAAGTCGACATTTACTGTAACTGTATAAGCAGTTTTCTGTATCAAAGTACACCAAACAACTAACTATTTTATATCTTTAATATAAGTTCTAGGTAAAGATGGCCAACGTGCAAGATGAAGAGCCCATGGATGTAAGTCAAACTTCACAGAAGGAAAAAAAAAGTTTAATATTCATGTGTTTTTGAAGTGTGACTTGGCCCAGTCATATAGATTAATTTTTGTATGTCGTATCTCATGACAGTGCTCTGAACAGCCTCCAACATCTTCTGAGGTAGGTAGGCCGTGTGTGTGTGTTCGTGTGCAAAGTATCACACCCAGTTAAGTTCTCATATTGTACAAGTCAAAGTAGAGCAGTTAGCTGGACTTTTATCTTGGTATAAAAGACCATTTTCAGCAGGCTTTTCTGTTTCATGTAATGTCCATGTGAAAAATGTTATTTAAATATGTGTTTTTGAAATGTGACCTGGCCCAGTCATATAAATTAACTTTTGAATGTCTTATCTCATGACAGCGCTCTGAACAGCCTTCAACAGCTTCTGAGGTAGGTAGGCCGTGTGCGTGTGTTTGTGTGCAAAGTATCACAACCATTGAATTTTCTTGAACATAGTTAGACATTTAGCTGGACTTTTCTCTTGTTATAGAAGACCCTTTTTCAACTGGCTTTTCTGTTTTATGTAACATCTATTTGAAAAATGTTGTTTAATATGTGTTTTTGAAGTGTGACTTGGCCCAGTCCTATAAACTAACTTTTGAATGTTATATCTTGTGACAGTGCTCTGAACAGCCTTCAACATCTTCTGAGGTAGGTAGGCCGTGTGCGTGTATGTGTTTGTTTGCAAACTAAGTATCACACCCAGTTAAAGTTTTACTGTACAAGTTAGAGTAGAGCAGTTAGCTGGACATTTCTCTTGATAAAAAGACCCTTTTTCAGCAGGCTTTTCTGTTTCATGTAACGTCTATGTCAAAAGTGTTGTTTAATATTCATGTGTTTTGAAGTGTGACTTGGCCCAGTCATATAAATTAACTTTTGAATGTTGTATCTAATGACAGCACTCTGAACAGCGTTCAACAGCTTCTGAGTTAAGTAGGCCTTGTGCGTCTGTAAGTATTACAACCAGTTGAGCGCTTTTACTGTACAAGTTAAAGTAGAGCAGTTAGCTTGACTTTTCTCTAGGTAAAAAGACCCTTTTTCAGCAGGCTTTTCTGTCTCATGTAACGGCTATGTGAAAGTGAAAGTATGGAGTCAAACACTAAGGACTGTCCCAAGCCCAAATCATTACAGACAATTTTTTTCTCTCTGCTCTCAGGGGCCTGTCTGTCTGCTTAGGTGGTACTTTTAGTTGTTGGCACACAGATAAGATGAGATGAGCACACATTGTATAAGCTCCCAAAATGCTTTTGTTCCTTTTACATTTTGCGTCCATAAATTACTCTACAAATCCTTCCAGCCACACACGGTATAACTGAATGCCATGGAGTGTTTTTGTGCTGGCTTCCAGAGTGTCACTTCTCTATTATGTTTACCGATTCTGTTTTGCCACAGGACAAAAGGAAAGCTCAAGTCACTCTAACCTTCAAGTGGTCAGGGGATTCTCCTCTACAGAAGACCAAGCTAGAGATAGCTCTTCAGAAATGGGCCACTAAAAAATATAATGGAAACTGCAGAGTTGTCAACATACAAAATGGAACAGCTGTGATAGAGTTTGAGCCAGCTCCAGGTGCAGTATGACTACATGTTAAAGCAAAATTTTAATTGCACATTTATTAAACACTATAAACACTTAAAATCCCATTTAAAGAGTATTGTGTATAAAAATGTATTTAATAATGCAGTATTTTAATTCATCTTTGTTGGAAGTGAAATGATTTTTGTCTCCTTTTTTTCAGCCCTGTGTGACCTTCAGGAACTGTGTGGTCAAACTCTGGAAATCAAAGACAAGATCAAAAACTCAGTGCACATTATGTGTGCTATTGTAAAACCTCCGAATCTTGAGACAGAAATACCAGACAACACTTCAGAGCCCCAAGATGTAAGTTCAGTGTTGTCAGAAATGGCAAGTTAATCCCATTAAATTCTGTTTAATTCTTTCATGGTATTTGTTTTTAGGGAGAACTACACCTGAGGAAACAAAGCTGTGATGTGGATATGGATAGGGCTCCAGCGTCAGAACCACAAAGTGTGGGAGATCCTCCAAATACCCCTCTTTCTTCATCTCCACCAAAGTCACAAGATGTATGTCAAGTTCATTAAATCATATGACTGACTTTTGAAATTAGAGCTTTTTACGACCTAAGGTCATTTTTTTCTATGCAGGTGCAGCCTTCTGAACAGAGTAATACCAACAATCCAGCGGTTTCCAAGGCAGATGAAGAGAATAACTTTGGTATTCTCCCAGTGAGTAACTTCCTGTATGTGAGCTACACCTGCAAGGAGGAAGTAGAAAGTATACTGAAAAAGTATGGAGTGAACATGGAAACAGAGGCACATGTGACATTTACAGCAGATGAGAAAAATGGAAGCCCAAAAGATGCTTACAATGACTTCACAAGCCTTGTCCAGAAGATTGATTACGGTGGTTTAGATTTTCCCCTCAAGAACGAAGATCCAAAAAAGTTGATGAATGCACTGAGAATCATCCTGATGAAGGAGAGCGAGCTCCTGCTTACTCTATCCTCTGACAGAATGACTGTTCATGGGCCGAGCCAGAGCCGAGATGCCATCGAAAAGTCACTCAACACAGAAACAAACACCGATCCCTCTCAGGAAGAGTCTGCAGGCGCAAATCAAGACACACTGCCAAACATTGGCATGAACATCCAGGACCCTCTCCTCAACAGTGGCCTCATCTTTGTGGAAAACTACTGGAAGCTGATCAATACTTCCTTCTGTGAGGATTTGGCCAAAATAAAAGCTAAGTTTGGCGTGGATGTAAAAGAATTCAGCAACAGTTCAGGCCAAGTCAAAATTGAAGTTTGTTGGAAGGAATCAGGAAGAAATGCAGCAATGGAGAGCCATGCTCTTAGAGCTCTTCTCCATCTGTACCAGAAGATTGCTACATCCCCGTTAAACAACACCCAACCTGGTGGTGCTGCAGGGTTCAATGGCTCGCTGAAGAACTCAGGTGATGAGTCAGATGAAGCCTCTGGTGGACCTGGGACCGGCAAACCAGGATACCACATCCGTTACAATGATGCACCAATAGGAGAGGGGGCCACAGCAGCAGCCAGTGAAGAAGACAACTGTCCTATATGCATGGATAGATTTAAAAACAAGAAACAGCTTCAGTGCAAACACGAGTTTTGTGAGGAATGCCTGACAAAGGCCAAGGAAAGTATGGGAGCCATCTGTCCTATCTGCAAAGATGTCTTTGGTAAAGTCGAAGGTGATCAGCCTCCTGGAACAATGAAATGGCGCGAAGGTTTTGCATCACTCGCTGGATTTTCAGGCTGCGGCAGTATTATCATCTCCTATAATATTCCAAGTGGAACACAGACGGTAAATGCCCTAGATGTATGATTAAGATACAAAGCATTAATTTCATAACTTTTTTGTTTGTTTGTTTCTTTCAAATGTGTCATTTCAGCAGATTTATAACTTTTCGTTTTGCAGGAAAAGCATCCACATCCTGGAAAGAGCTACTATGGTTGCAGCAGACAGGCCTTTCTACCAAATAACAAAGAGGGCAAAGAGGTGCTTCAACTGTTGAAGAGAGCATTTGATCAGAAGCTCATTTTCACTGTTGGGACCTCAAGAACAACCGGGAGAGAGGACCAGGTGACCTGGAACGATATTCACCACAAAACCTCAGAAACAGGAGGGCCACAATGGTAAAAAAGCTAAATCTTTATTGCGTTATATCTGTAACCTGTCAGTTTTGTCAAATCCACTTCAATGTGAAGTAAGTCTTGTTCATTCCTTTTCCACAGTTTCGGGTACCCTGATCCTAAATATCTGAGCAGAGTAAGAGAGGAGCTGAAGGCTAAAGGCATTGAGTGAGAAGTCTGATACAATGTTCCTGAGAATTGATCTTCAAAGATAATCATGTTGGAATCTTCATAATTTGTTTGTTTGTTTTTAAGTGTTTCTGATCTCTTCTTATACATGATCTTTTAAATATCTCAGTAGTTATAGTGTTAATGTTTATGTTGGATGTAATGTCATGAGAAATTAATCAGACATTTATGATGCTGGACTCCCTCCCTGATTATTTCTGAGTTGATGATTGTGAAAGGATGATATCTGAATGTACAGATTGAACCAAATGCCCACAGTACACACTATGGTTGCATGTTTGCTTAAATGACTGGGTAAAAAAAAACACAGTAAATCTTCTGTTAATCAGCACATGTAAAAAAAGACAAAATATACTGGTTTGTTTTCTGTACAATTTTTAAAATTTTATTTATAACAATATCTGTTATTTAGTTTGTAAAGTACTCCAGCAAAAATTAAACATTATTCTCTTTCCAGAAGAAAGACTGAGCCTCCATGCATTGTGTACTATAAAAGCTATGTGTCATTTTCCATTTAAAAAAAAAAAGACTAATCAGGAAAAAAAAAAACAATTTTGAAAATGCATGTATGATTTTGCAAAAATGTTTTTAGGTAAAATGATTGTACTTATCTCTCAATTAAAGACAAAACATATACAACAGCATAAAATAACACTTGCTGACAGGTAAGCAAAATAAGAACTTGTAATTGTAGTTACATTAGAGATTGGTGTTACTTTTCACATGCATTAAGATATGGCTGACACATTTCTGACAGAAGCAGCATTTTGGGACAGAGGCTGAGCGTAAGGACATGTCAGAGCAACCAGAATGGTAGCATTAGCAGCAGCAGGGCACAGAGGACAGAGAGAGAGAGAAATTAAAAAGAGCAGAGAAATGCCAAAGAATGAACATAATGCACTTAAGACTGAGTCATTACAAAACTGTGAACATACAGATATCGCTCTTCTAAAAGTAGAGAGAAAAATCTACTCAAAAAACCAGACATTATCTGGTCTTCTCAAGGAAAATGGACAGGAGAAATGAAAGACAGCTAAAGACCCATCCAGACCACATTTTCCTCACTGTAACTGCAGCCCCTACTTCCTGTCAGAGGAAGACCCCTTAAAGAGAACTAACAATAGACCAGACATAAGAGTCTTTAATCTGCTGATTCCCCCATTATTAGCCATTTACAAAGGCATCTACTGTCTCTCTCTCCACATCTATAGTCTTCTCCCACCACTCTGCCTGGAATGTTTCAACCCATGACCCACTTCCTCAATTTCCATAATCTTAGACTAATACATCTCTCATCCTCTCACTTCACTTCAGCAACAGAAGCCCCAACCTGTCACACAAGGTGATAAAAACAAACATACATCTTGCGGTATAAAGCCTTCAGTTTACAAAATACTGTAAAGTATGTAGCCTGTGCAAGGAAGACAACACAATCATTTCATGAAAATTGTTCTCTGAGGAAATAATTTTGTGGAAATACTGTAGTTACCATCTGGTATTGACATTATACATGTGCGAGACACAAACGGTGCTATCACAAATCTGTCTCACACAATCTCGCTAAGTAACCCAGCGAGACAGACAACATATGTACCGATTTAGAAAACTTTGAGTTTTACCTTTCCCGCTCAAAGTCAACACAAACAACAAACAGTTGGCACTGGTGAAATGGAACAATGTTTTTTTCTTTTCTATACAATTCATACAAAAATAAAAAATTAAAATTGCTCCAATGATAGCATCTTTTCTTCTGATTTTTCTTTTTTCCATTTCATTTTGCACAGAGGTAGTGGCTATTTAGGTAAAGGGTAAGGGACAAAGTGTAAATTAAAAATCTCTCATAGAAAATGTTTTTCATTTTTGACCAGAGGAATCTCAAAAGAACAAAATATAATACTGCAATCACATACAAAAGTAGTCCTTCATTTTTGTACATTTTATACAGTGTTCACACTTTTTATCAGTTTTCTCTCACACTTTTTAAAGATTTTTTTTCTTTTTCTTTTTTTCTTTTTTAAAAGGCAAGAAGAGGGGTGTGTTTGGAAAATCATGATTTAGGCCTATGGACAGTCTATGCCAAGGGGTCCACGAGGGGTTCCTCATCTCCACGTGATAGCAGCTCCTTCTTCTCGTCTGTGCTGGCCAAAGAGTTGCGACTGTTCTGAGCTCCCATGTACAAAGTGGCATATACTGGGTTTGTAAAGTTGGTGGGCTGAGGAGAGCAAAAACATTAATTTTACATCATTTATTTGAGCAGAGCCTTTGATGATTGAGTTTAGGAATGGTTTGATTCACTTACCTTGTCTGGATCCAGCGTGAAGTCTACATCGAGCAGCTCCCCTGCATCATCATCAGGCTCACCCTCATAGATCTTGTAGGCCGGGTTTCCAATCTCAACATTCATGGCCCCGTTGGTCATCCTTTGGTGCTGGAAGCCCTTGGCCCTGCATGAAAATATTGAGAGTTAAACACCACCAGCATGTCCCTACCAGGGTTACATGAGCCTAAAGACAGCAAGCAGGGACACAGCCACATTATTTAGGGAGCCAAGAGGCATTGCATGACTCTCACCACCATCCAGCCTGAGGGAACTAATCTACAGCACAGCACAGAATACAAAACCAGCATTCATGTGGCCCATAACAGAGAACCTGAATCCATGTTTCTAAAAGATCACAATGAATCCACAATAGATCCTCCAAAATAAGAACAGTGACAACAGTGTCTAACCCTGAGTAAATGCCGGATTATTCACAGAGCATTCTCAAACATGAGCTTGGAAGAATGTTGTTACACTTTCTATCTCTACCACACTACCACAATACAAACCACAGCACAAAACAGGAAGTACAATGGCAAAATAACAACAGTATAATGGACAACACCATGGCACATTGATAGAACTTGTAAGTGCATGGACAGATCTATTCAATGCATCTTTTCAATAGATCCACACTGCAGCCGCTCTGGAGGGGGCCGTTCAACAGAGGACACTCTGGAGGAGCAGGATGAACTACAGTTCCCACGAACTGAGAGAATGGTGCCACATTCACCACAGGACCAAACACTGCACAGCAACCAAGACTCATGGGTAAGGCAGAAATGTAGAGAGGGAGAGAAAGAGAGAAAGAGAGAAAGAGAGAGGGAGAGAGAGAAGGCGTTGGATGCAGAACTGAATGAGGTTGTGCAAGAAGAACAGTGTAACCCTGGCAAAAGTTACCGCAAGCGTCTGGAGCCGGTTTTGCCGGGTCGACTAGACCTGAGGAGCAGAGGAGATGCCATTACAGGGAGGAGAGGAAAGGTGTACAGAAAGGAGGGAAGGAAAGAAAGAGGGAAGGAGGGAAGGAAAGAGAGAAGAAAGAAGGGAAGGATGGCAGAAAGGGCGAAAGAAAGGCGAGAGGGAAGGAGAAATTAAGAGGGAAGGAGGGAAAAAGAAATGGGAAGAAGAGAGAGGGAAGGAAGAATGGAATAAAGGAAGGAAAAAGCAAGAAAGAAAGAGAGGACGAAAGCAGAGAGAGAAGGAAGAAGGGAGGGAAGGCAGGGGGATAGGAAAAAAATAAGATCAAGTGAAGGAAGGAGGATGAGAAGGAAAATTAAATTAAGGGAAAGAGGAAGGGAGAGGTCTTGAGTGTTGTTGGTTTTGAAATTTGCGGCTACCACTCACCCTCTTATCCTCTTTCTGTACCAGAATAATGCTCCCGCAGCCAGCAGGACCAACAGCAACAGCAGCAGCACTGGGATCACTATAGAGGCCGTTCCTACAGAAACAAACACAAATAAAATAATTGTATCAAAGTCATCCTCAGTGACGCAAAAGAAAAAATCTTTGCTAGTTATACGAGGACGTCACTTACTTCCACCTGAACCTGGTTCTGTGTCAATGCTGGCCACAGATTCACAGCGATACCCTGCCCAGCCAGGTGCACATCTACGCATAAACATACAAAGAGGAAATATAAACATGCATGAATGTAAACTAGAGAAATACAGATTTAAAGTCTGGTTGAGAAATTCTTTAAAAACATCGGTAATTAGGCTGTAAAGTGATTTTGTGTGCTTGTATGACACTGTTTGCATCTGGAGTGTATGGTCTGCTTTAAAAGTCATCAAAAGCTTTCTCTTGTATATAAGTACAACAGATAACATAAAAACTAAAACCAAAACTTAACTAAATCCCAAAATTGATAGCAGGAAACCTTGCTCCTCACCTGCACTCTGGAAGGCGGGTTATTGGATTAATGGAGCACTGCCCATTAGCACAGTATTCATTCGTGTCACAAGAGTAACAGCTAGGCTGAATTCGACCATTCGAGCAGCTACAAGAAAACACAAAAAAGACCAGGTTACACAACTGTACAAATACAAATTAGTGCTTGAGTTGTGTTTTTGTGAATCATCTTACCGGCAGGTAAAACCTCCTGTAGATGTAAAACTGTTGCCAGGGATACATTCGCCATCTCGACAGTAGTGACACTTGTCAATCTCACACATGTTGCCGTTGTACTGAGGCAGACAGCGGCACAGTTTGGAGCCATCTTCCCTCTGCAGACATGTACCTTTGTTCAGGCAGTAGCCCTCACAGCTTCCTGCTCCCACAAACACACAGATACATGTCAAAGAAATGCTTACCCATCACGTTCATCAAAACCGACTGATTACAGTTCTTACGGCAGAATTTTTTTGTATATCTTTTCATACTTGCACATTGACAGGACACTCACTGTATTGACACTGGTCACCCTGGAAGTCAGCAGGGCAGCGGCAGGTTGGCTGGTTTCCTGCGCTGACAGTGCAGTTGCCTTTGTTCTTGCAGTAATCCTTACAGGTGTGCAGGTTACAATTTGGTCCTGTAAAACCAATCAGGCATCGACAGGTGGGAGAGCCTGCAGAGGAACAGAAATACATAAGGGGTGAACAGATGGAGCCTAAACAGGGATAATAATAGAGGAAGAATTGTGCCATAAGTTTGCCTACAGAGCTCTA